AGAGACAGGGTTTCACCTTGTTGGCCAGGATGGTCTCGATCTCTTGACCTCGTGATCCGCCCACCTCGGCCTCCCAAAGTGCTGGGATTACAGGCGTGAGCCACCGAGCCTGGCCCACATGGTGTTTTTTTCTTATGATTTTAAGAATAGATGGAGAAAAAAATGCTCAGGGGAAATAGGTCTTTGAGCTTCAATAAGAGAAATGTGAGTTAGACCCCCCAAAATCCGTAGTAACCTCTTGAAGTTCCCTTTCAATTTGATTCCTTGGCGGAGATCTTTAGGCCCCGCCCACCTACCGCCAACTGGCGCTAGCCACAAAAACACCTGGTGGGGACTGACCTCCCCCAAGCCCAGTCTCCAAACACTGTTCGAACCTGGGTGGGAAGAGGGAGCCTTTGGGATTCTGCTGGGCTGGGCCCTGAAGGCAGGAGTGGATGAGAAATGGGTACAGTCTAGGCCCAGCTCCCTGGCTACACAGTGCGTTCTAGGAAGAAGGAACTCTTTGCCACATTGACAGTCTTTTCGTATTTTTAGTAGAGACGGGTTTTGGTCATGTTGGCCTGGCTGATCTCAAACTCCTGACGTCAGATGCCGCCTGCCTTGGCCTCCCAAAGTGCTGGGATTAAGGTGCAGCCCTTAGCGGGGGAAAATGCTTTTTGCTAATTACAATGAGCAACATTTGGTTGTGACCACTGCTAAATATGGTCTGGCTTTGCTGAGGCGCCAATCTCAGCTCGGATCAGGGTGAGTGGGCAGGAGAACTAAATCTCGACAAAGACAGCGAGGGGCCTGGGTGAGACGAAGAACGCCCAGAGAACGCCAGCCACCTCTTGGGGGCTCACAGCGCTGCCGCCAAGTGAGTCCAGCATTCCAGCCAGCCGCGCGGACCGCAGTTTCCAGATGTGCCAACGCCAGGTCTCTCCAGCCGCGCTGGCCTTTCCAGCAGCAGCAGCCGCCGCAGCAAAGCGACAAATCCCACCCCCGGCCCCGCCCGTCCGATCCATCTTGCTCCCGAGGCTGTGCTTTCCCGGAGAAGCGAGGGGCGGGGAGGGGAAATCCAAGTCTTTGGGGGCTGCCGACAGGTGTTTGGGGGAGAAGGCGGGGCTGGGATAGGCAGGATGAGGAGGGAGGGGCGGTGCTGCCCCTTTAAGAGGCGGTGGCCAGCCGGGACCTTTTTCTCTTTCCCCGGAAGGAAAGCGCAGCCCGGGCGGTGCGCGCAAGGTGGGGAGGTGCGGGACTGGGCGTGGGGAGGCGGGGCGCGCGCTGAGGGACCCCTCCCTCCTGTCCTCCTTGCGGTCGACCGGTGAGCTTGCCAGATCCGCCGCGGAGCCGGGATCAGAGGCGACACTGGGGCCAAGGGGGCGCGGCCGGGACCAGCTGGGGGCCGGTTGCCCGGGTCAGGGGCGGCGGTGACCCGGACTCTGGGGAGGCGGGAAGATAGACCCACGGACCTTACTTAGGAGGGCATCCGAGAGCGCAGACCCTGGGCAGCTGTGAAACTGGCTGGGGCTGGGGGTACGAAACCGATCGGCACTACGGAGCGCAGTGGCCGGCGGGTTCCAGCGTCCTCCGGCGGCGCGGGGAGCAGGTGAACAGGTCCTCACGCCCAGCGCCGCGCCCTCACGCGCTCTAGCCCGGACCCCGCGCCTGCTCCTAGCCATGGGCCCCCGCCCCAGCCGCGCGCCTCGCGCCCCACGCCTGATGCTCTGCGTGCTCGCCTTGATGGTGGCCGCCGGCGGCCGCGTCGTCTCCGCCTTCAACCTGGATACCCGATTCCTGGTAGTGAAGGAGGCCGAGAACCCGGGCAGCCTCTTCGGCTACTCGGTCGCCCTCCATCGGCAGACTGAGCGGCAGCAGCGCTACCTGTAAGTGAAGCTGGCGGGGTAGGGTGGGAGCGAGAGTGTGCGTGCGAGGGGTGCGGGTTCAGAGCCGAGTCGGAGCCCCGGGCGGCTGGCCCTTGAGAACCAGGGTTAAGGGGGCGAGTACCCAGGCGGCCCTCAGGCTGCTGTGGCTTGGCGGGAAGTGGAGGATTGGGCGTGGGGTCGGGCAGTAATCATTGGCAAGTGCTGACGGGGCCAGAACCTGTCTAGACCCCACCCCTCCGCCCTTTAGATCTCTCCTGCGAGCGGAAGTGGGGTCCCGGTGACTGAGTCCTCTCCCACTCTGTGAACTGAGTACCCTGCGCTAGCCTCTTCTCTGCAGGACTGGGAGCTGGGGTAAACTGCCAGATAAACACCCAGCAGACCCCCCTTCCCCTACGCTTGGGGGGAAAATGAGCATATGCATTTAAGCACCTCGCTGTGTGCTTAAATGTGTCTGCGGCCACGCCAGCCACACCCTCTGCAGAGCCAGTCTGGATGGCCTTCTCAATCGCTGGCTTGGCCGATGGAGGGTGAGGTGATGGGTGAGTCTTGGCGTTTGGAGCTGTCCAGACGCTCTACGCCTTGAGGATAGGGGCAGTGGAAGAGAGAGGAGGAGTTGTCCCAACTCTGGCTGCGTCTCCTCTTGCCCACCCCCAAGCAGTGGCACTCTCCCCCCAGACATCTTCCCTGCATTCCACAGATTCATATTGGATCTTCAACCCTGAGTGTGTTTGTTTTGGTTTGAAGAGGGAAACTGTTTTTCTCTTTCTTCTGTTCTCCTTCCCCAGCAGCTGCAAGGAGGAGGGGAAGAGCTGTGCACAGGGAGGAAGGAGGAGGAGGTTGCACCCAGCTGCCTGGGTCCTCCTCACTCCAGCAGACTCACTCATGCCCAGGAGCATGTCCAGGCTTCAGAGATCTCTCCGCCATGGCCTCAGAGCGGGCTGAGGTCTGCGGTTGGGGGAGGTGAGGCTGCCCATAGAGGGACCGGGGTTAGGACAGGTTAGACAGGTCCCATCCACCTCTTTGGGCTGGGCGATCTTCCAGGCATCTGCCCCCACCTGGTCTCTGATCCCACCTGGCCTCTGACCCCACTGAACAAGAAGATGTGATCACATTTAGGGTACACTGAAATCTCTTCCTGCTCTGGCTAGGGCCTGCAGAGCTTGAGGAAGTTTAGAATGTCCAAAGTCCAAACTCTGCCCTGGCCTTGGTTCTGCCCTCCTGGCCCAGCCTACCTACCGGGACTTGACCTCAACTTTGTCTCGCTCTTGTGGAGGCTAGAGCTACCACACCTTTCCCAGCTGGCCCCAGAAGCTGCCACCTGGCCTTAGCCAACCCTCTATCTTTTGGAGATCCTGAGTCACCATTAGCACAAGTTTATCAGCACTCTTTCAGCCCTAACCTAGAAAAAGATTTTCAGACTTTCTTTCTTTCCTTTTCTTTTTTTCAGTGAGAGTCTCGCGCTCTCACCCAGGCAGGAGTGCAGTGGTGCAATCTCAGCTCACTGCAGCCTCCACCTCCCAGATTCAAGTGATTCTCCTGCCTCAGCCTCCTGAGTAGCTGGGATTACAGGCACCCACCACCACACCCAGCTACTTTTTGGTATTTTTAGTAGAGATGGGGTTTAACTGTTAGCTAGGCTGATCTTGAACTCCTGACCTCGTAATCCACCCACCTCGGCCTCCGAAAGTACTGGGATTACAGGTGTGAGCCACCTTGCCCAGTGATCTTCAGATTTTCAATGTCAAATCTGCATAATATAAAGTAACATAGGCAAGAGATCAGACTGGAAGGAGAGTCAATAGTGATTCTATAGCCCCTCTCCCTTTTGCTTGGTGAGTTTGAGCAAGATATTTCCCCTCCCTGGACCAGGTTTCCCCCAAAAGGGGTTGGACCTGGATCTAGATGCTCTTTCCCACCGTTGCTGGTCTGTGAGAAGCAACTTGATATGGTAGAGGGGGAAGCGGCCTGGAGGTCCCATTGCCAGGGTCCTGTCTCAGATCTGTTACCAAAACCTGAACCTGAATTTCCTTACATGTTGGAGGGAGGGGAACAGCATGCCTCCTTCTGGGACATTAGCGGGGCTGTAACGAGATAAAGTTTGTAAAATGCTCTGCACACATGCCTTTCTCCAAGGAGCACCTGAAGGCTCTTGTGCTGACGCTAGAACCTAGATGCAGCCTCATTTTCTGTGGGCCTCGCCCAAGGTGGCTGAGCAAAGGGGTTCTACTTTTCTATCTGGGAAACTAGACCTGGCATTCAGCCTGCCAAGAGCCCAGAAGGTTCTAAAGCTAATGAACCTCGGAGGGGCAGGAGTTCTCTCCCTTGAGTATCCTCAGTCTTTCCTAAGGGTGGTTCTGTGTCTTTGCCCTTTTCTTCATCTCACTGAATTCGACCCCTTGGCCCTTTGAGAGAGCCAGCTGGGCTTAGCTGCAGCCAGCTGTGTAGCCAGATGCAAACAGCTGCCTGAGTGCACAGCTCGGAGGAACTAACTAGTCAGACAAGCTGCAGCCTCATATTCTGTTAGCCTGAAAGTCTCTTTGGAAAAGCGGGACGGTTCATGGTCCTAGACAGCCTCTTAAACTGGGGTTTATAGAAGGTTTTCAGGAGATGCAGGGACTCCCTGAAAATGTACCCCAAATCTGCTGGGTGTGGTGGCTCACATTTGTAATCCCAGAACTTTGGAAGGCTGAGGTGGGCGGATCACGAGGTTAGGAGTTCGAGACCAGCCTGACCAACAGGGTGAAACCCCGTTGCTACTAAAAATACAAAAATTAGTTGGGTGTGGTGCTGTGCACCTGTAATCCCAGCTGTTTGGGAGGCTGAAGCAGGAGAATTGCTTGAACCCAGGAGGCGGAGGTTGCAGTGAGCTGAGAGTGCACCGTTGCACTCCAGCCTGGGCGATAGAGCAAGACTGTGTCTCAAAGGAAGAAAGGAAGGAAGGAAGGAAGGAAGGAAGGAAGGAAGGAAGGAAGGAAGGAGGGAGGGAGGGAGGGAGGGAGGGAGGGAGGGAGGGAGGGAGGGGAGGGGAGGGGAGGGGAGGGGAGGGAGGGAGGGGAGGGGAGGGGAGGGGAGGGGAGGGAGGGAGGAAGGGAAGGGAAGGGAAGGGAAGGGAGGGTATCCAAAATTGTGCTATTTCTTCACTGTCCTGACGGTGAGAGGAGGGGAGAGCTCAGCTTTCATGTTCTCCAAGAAGGTCTCAGAGATGGTTAGAAACCCAGGGGTGGGATCCTCTTTGCTCCCCCATCACCTTCACTGGAAGGTGAAGTTCTCTGGATTCGGGTTTGTGGCCCACATCATAGGGGGCTAACTCCAACCCAAGGCCCAATCTCCTAGTCTGTGGAAATGAGGGTCGAGGAGCAGGCAGAGGACCAAGGTGCTCTGGGTTTCTTGGCAAGATGCACGAGGGGTCCCATGGATGGAGAGGGACTGTCCTCTGGGAGGTGTTACTGACACCCTCCCTGCTCCAGTACCTGCACTGACCTTCCTTCCTGGGAATCCAGGGATCCTGGTCTGGCCTGACCCTGTGGGCCATGGGGGATACCTCCAGTCCTTCTCTGTCTTTCACATTTGCTTGGAAATGATGGTATCTGGGAAGCCCAGGGCGGGGTAGCTCCTAGGAATGAGGTCATGCCTGAGGTAGGCAGGAGCCAGGCTCACCTGCTATGCCCTCTACCAACATCATGTTCCCCTGGGCAGGGCGGGTGCCTGGCAGCCTCCAAGGCTCGTGCCAGCAGAAATGGGCACAGCAGCTGTGGCTGGAGGCAGGAGACCTGCACACGAAGTACCTTTTTCCTCTGGCTCTCCCCAGTGAGCAGTCTAGGCCAAGAGGCTTTCAACTGGGTGGCGGTGGAGCTGGAGGAGGCTGATTTGTAGAAAAAGAAGCAGCGAAAGGGGCTTGGTCAGAACTAAACCAAAGAGGAAGAGGATCCCCTTTGCAGTAAGAGGGATTGAGGTTAGATGACACGGAGAATGCCCTTGGGGGTCAAATATAGGAAAAATACTGAAGAGCCAGGGAAAGGGAGAAGAACTGAGCAAAGCAGCCTTGTTCTTTTTTATCTGAGGCATCGCCAAGCTTCTTGTTCCTGTCCCCTCTCATTCTCTCTCTCCCTCCAGCTTGTTGCCCTTGTTCTAGGGCTGAGTCACCAGTTGAGAGAGGGGGCTGGATGGGCAGCAAAGGAAGAGTAGGGAAGGACAGGGAGGGCTGCAGTTTCAGCTACCATAGGAGCAGCCCCTGGGGAGATGGCTAATTCGGGCAGCAAGGCTGGCACAGAGCTGGGATCCAGGCATCCCAGAGCTCCCCCCGCCCCTACTCTGGGACTCAGGGGTAGAGCGGGCGCCCTCCCCACCTGCCTCCTGGCCTGGGGTGGGAGGAGAACACAGGAGGCTAGGTACCCAAGGAGTGAGGCCCTGCCATGTTGGCCTGATACCTGATCCTCTGGCTCCCTCTGAAATCCCCCCACGGAGCCACCAAGTGCCTCCCCGAGGTGAGGGAATCTGGGAAGGTGAATCTTCCAGGCTGCTTCTCTGAGCATGACCCCACTCCAGTGACCTGAGGGCCTTCTCCTCTTTAGGGTGAGCCAACCTGGTACCCTGAATTCTCCTGGGTATTGTGCCCCGCCCTTCTTTGATTTTCCTGGTTTCTCCTTGGCTGTTCCATTAGCTTTGCACTACCCCAAGGGGAGTGATAGGGCAGGGGTAAGGAAGGGCTTTTTCGGAACTTGGAGCTCAAGGGATTCCGCAGAGGCCAAGAGGGCTGTTTGCCTGGAGCCAATGGGAAGGTGAGGAGGCAGCTGTGGAAAGCCCGTGAGTAGTCATCCCACTCCATCTGGGGGGCTGGGGCTCTCTGCTCTCCCCAGTCCAGCTTGACTCCAGGAGAGGGGCAGTCGCATCTCCTATCTTCCTTGCTCTAAGAGCTCCATCTAGGCATCCCTCCACTTAGTCTCCCTCCTGGCTGCAGCTGAGAGGATGGGCTCCGTACTGTTCTGGAAGGGGTCAGCTTTTAGATTTGGTGATCTGGACCAGACCCCAAAATAGGTGACTAGCAGAAGCACTCATTTGCATAATATTTTACATTTCATTTGCATACCAGTAAGGTCCCTCCCACTTTCCAGATTCTCCAACCCCCACCGCACACACCTGGCTGTGTGTGGCTGGAGGAAGCTGGAACCACCCTCTGCACACCTACCTTCCCCCTCCATGCACAGGCCTCTGGCTGTAGACCCATTGGAGCCTGGGCTGGGAGCCAGAGGGCCTTAAAGGGCCTCTGAGTGGGCCAAGTGGAAGCTAAAAATACTCTGGGGGGGTGAAGGGGGGGCTCCCTCTGGAATCTCTGAGGAGGGAGGGAGGGGCCTGGGATGTGGGGCTGAGATTAGGGCACTGGCCCTCCCCCGCCCTCTATCAGTAGGCATAAGGCTGGTTCCAGGCCATGGGCAAAACGGTATAGGTGGTAAGGGGAAGTATTTCAATCTAATTGACATGTGTACCCAGCTCTGCCTGCTCAGTACTTCAGGAAGTTCAGAGGAGGGGGTCCTTTTGCCCCTTCCTGGCTGAGTTGAAGGGGCTGGAAGGGCATGGAGACCCTTCTGCTTAGCCACCTCCTGTATGAGAATGTGCACAGGGCAGCAGCAATAAGGGGGCAACACTTCCGTTGCAGGCATGCCCAAGGCCCGCCACCTACTGAGGCCTGGACCCCTTCAATGTCACTGTAGAAAATCCCCCACTTCCACCTCCAGCCAGATCTGAGCTCCCACCACAGACTGACTCTAGCAGCCACTACTCCCACCCCCACCCCAGTGATCACCTGGTATCCTCAAGCCATGGAAGTCTTCCTGTGTCTGTCCCCTGCTCTCTCTAAACCACCAAAGGAGTCTCTTCTTTTCCCTCTGCTCCAGGTTCCCTAACATGCCAAGGCAGAAATTCCTGGGTCCAGCTGGGCACAGTGGCTCTTGCTTGCAATCCCAGTATTTTGGGAGGCCAAAGCAAGTGGATCACCTGAGGTCAGGAATTCGAGACTAGCCTGGCCAACATGGCAAAACCCTATCTCTACTAAAATTACAAAAATTAACTGGGTGTGGCGGCGCACACCTGTAATCCCAGCTACTTGGGAGGCTGAGTCAGGAGAATCACTTGAACCCGGGAGATGGAGGTTGCAGTGAGCTGAGATAGTCCCACTGCACTCTAGCCTGGGTGACAGAGCAAGACCCTGTCTCAAAAAAAAAAAAAAAAAAAAAATCCTGGGTCCCTGGTCCCTGGAGGAAGGGCTGGCATCATGCTAGGGCCAGTCCTGATGTCACAACAAATCAGAACCACAGTGCTCACGTTAGCCATGGCTTCATATCAGAATACCCTTTTGCAGAATAGACCCATTTATTCCTCCAGCAATCCTGGAGGTCAGCAGGAGAAGGGCTGTCCGCATTCTACAGACAAGGCACTCAGGGCTCAGAGAAGGAAAGGACATTGCCCCTTCAGGCAGAACAAACCCTAGACCCAGGTCCCTGGGCTCTCAGGCTGAGATGCTCCCTTCCCACAGGCTACAGCTTCCTTCTCTCATCTGTCAGGCACGCCAGAGAGCGGATGTCCATGGGTGGTCAGGCAGTGGACTCATCGAGGCCTTCCCAGCCCAGACAGAAGTGACTCTCCAAGCCTGGCTGCCAGCCTGGCCCCCTGCCAGCCTCCCTGGCCAGGAAGCATCACCCCTTCTCCCAGGAACACTCCCCAGGGTGAGGTCTGAGCTGTAGTCTTGAGGTACAGGCAAGGTCCACCCCCCTTCCCAGCACCCGCAGGCAGTACATTCCTGACTTCCAGTGGGTGGAGACGTCCTAGGCCCCAGCACGCCCAGGCCCTGCCCTGCCCCCTCCCTGCAGCCCACACTCACAGGTTCCAGGCAGGAGCTACAGGCGTGGCTGTTGCTTGGCACTTCCAGGCTGGCAGGAGGCCCAGAGCCCAGGTTCTGAGCTTCGAGCTATGAATCGATAGAATTGCTGGGGCCAAATGCTGGGGCACCTGGGAGGTGCCTGCCACCCGAGAAGGCCGGGGCCATCAGCATTGAGGAGGGGCTCCTGGCAGAACATTTAGCAGCTGTTCTGCTAAATTAGTGGTGATGTGGGGAGAAGAAAGTCAGATAAAATGTTCTCAAACTGGGGTGCCCAGATTCCACCAGATGGTATGGTGTGGGCAGGGGAATCTACCTATTTAATAAAGATTCCCAGGGTTTCTGATGGTCCAAGGCCTGTCCTCTGAGATGCTATTTCAGGGCCAGTCCCTGCCTTTCTCTGCTCCAGCCACCCTTCTGCTATGGGACAGTCTGCCAGGGTCCTAAGCATCCTTGTAGGAACTTGCTGTCGATACCCCCAAAGATGGATTCTGGGCAGGCTAGGGGCAAGGCAAGAGTTTTTCTACACCCCACGTGCCGACTGCCCACCGGGAACTCTGTTCTGGGGCCACATTGTCCATAGTGTCAGGTGCTTATCCCACCCCCTTCCTGTGTGTCTGTCTTAAGGTCACTGGGGAAGGATGTTGGATATCACCCAGGTCACTTAGGGGCCCAGGTATCCAAAATCTGAGTCCCCAAATGGCTTCAGGAGGAAGAACCCAGGTTCTGACAACCCAACCCCCTAAGTCCTCCCTGCTGACCCCCAGAATTTGAACTGTCCGCCCGGATTCCTCCAATCTTGCTCTTTTCTGGTCTGCCTTCATCTCAAAGGCCAAAGCATTCCTTCCAAAACTCATATCTGACCATGTGGTTCCCCAAGGCCCTTCCCAGCCTCCCTGGAGGCTCCTGGACTCCAGCTATGCTGAGGGTCTCGCAGGTCTCTGAATCACCCGCTGGCTCTTGCTTCCTGGCCCTGCACATGTGTGCCTTTGCCCAAGTGCCCTTCCTCCCCTTATCACCTGGGGAACCCTGGTCATGGTCCTCAGACTCAGATTAGGTCACCTCTTCTGCTGGCCTCCATGATGGACCCCTCAGCCCTGAGCCTGGGCTGCTGTGCTCCTGCTTCTCACTCCGAGGGCACTTCCTTCTGGTGTCCTTGTCTGGCGTCCCCTATGCTGAGCACTTCTGGAAGGCAGGAGCTGGGGGGGGGTCTCCTGACCTCCAACCTGTATGTTGAATAAATAGCAAGTGGTTTAAAGTGGGGCTTGGGGAGTCTGAACCTGGACCCACCTCCCTCCCTATCCCCAGGCTGCTGGCTGGTGCCCCCCGGGAGCTCGCTGTGCCTGACGGCTACACCAACCGGACTGGTGCTGTGTACCTGTGTCCACTCACTGCCCACAAGGACGACTGTGAGCGGATGGACATCACAGTGAAAAGTGAGGTGAAGGGGCTGGGGAGGGGTGCTGGGTCAGAGGTCTGGCAGAGGGGTAGTGCAGAGAGAATGGCCTGGAGGAGATAGAAGGTTTGCTCACACAGTTTCTAGTCGCTTCTTGTCCAGCTGGGAAGAGGGTGCCCTAGAGGGGAGTGGGGCTGAATGGGACCGGTGGAGCTCAGAATAATGACGAGCTGGAGAAGGGGAGTGGGGAGGGCGGCCCTGTGGGTGGAGGGCCCAAGAGGGACCCATCTCTGGTCTCTGGAGGCTTTGGGCACTGAAGTCTGGGTGAGGCGCTCTGGTTCATGATCCCTCCTGTGCCCACAGGTGACCCTGGCCATCACATTATTGAGGACATGTGGCTTGGAGTGACTGTGGCCAGCCAGGGTCCTGCAGGCAGAGTCCTGGTAAGTGGGTGCTCAGCGTCAGCGCCTCCACCCCTCCCTGGCTCTCCCCTTCATCTCCCAGAGCTGGAGGAAAGCAGAGGGCAGCAGGGGGGTCCTCTGCACGTGTGTGCTGGCGCCAGCACGTGTGTCCCTTCCTGCGGCTGTGTGTCCCTCGCTCCCTGCAATCCTGGGGAGGGGACGAGTATCCTGTGCTCTGCCAAAGCCAAGCACGGCCGGAGTCCTCTGACTCATCTGCTTCCTCCCCATACCCATGCTGGGTGCTCAGCCTTCGTGGGAACAAGTCGAGGGAGCTGAGGGAACTACGAGGAAGAGAAAGGGCAGAGAGGGCCCCAGGCGGCTCAGTGCTGGCTGGCACTCCTTCCCGGGAGGCTGACTGCCGGAAGAGGCCCAGCCCTGCTGACCCCAGCTCACCCAGCTCTGGTCTGGGGGCTAATCAAATGTGTCACTTCCTGTCCACATTCTATAGTGCCAGCCCCTGAGTTCTCAATTTCTGAGTCCCAGGTAGACATTTTCCCCCCATTTTTTTTTCTCTTTTCTTTTGTTTGTTTGTTTCTTTGAGACAGAGCCTTGCTCTGTAGCCCAGGCTGGAGTGCAGTGGTGCGATCTCAGCTCACTGCAACCTCCGCCTCTCGGGTCACAATTCAAGCAATTCTCCTGCCTCAGCCTCCCTCCCAAGTAGCTAGGATTACAGGCACACACCACCATGTCCAGCTAATTTTTGTATTTTTAGTAGAGACAGGGTTTCACCATGTTGGCCAGGCTGGTCTTTAACTCCTGACCTCGTGATCCACCCACCTTGGCCTCCTAAAGTGCTGGGATTACAGGTGTGAGCCACTGTGCCAGGCCTCCTTTTCTTTTCCTTTTCTTTCTTTCAAGATGGAAGACTCACAGCCAGGCACCGAGGCTCATACCTGTAATCCAAGCATTCTGGGAGGCCTATGCAGGTGGATCACGAGGTCAGGAGTTTGAGACCAGTCTGGACAATATGGTGAAACCTCGTCTTCAACTAAAAACATAAAAAATTAGCTAGGAGCAGTGGCCCATGCCTGTTGTCCCAGTTACTCAGGAGGCTGAGGCAGGAGAATTGCTTGAACCCGGGAGGTCGAGGTTTCAGTGAGCTGAGATCATGCTACTATGCTCCAGCCTGGGCAAGAGCAAGAGTCCATCTCAAAAGAAAAAAAAAGAAAAGAAGACTCCCTCTGTCAACCAGGCTGGAGTGTAGTGGTGCCATCTCAGCAGCCTTGACTTCCCAGACTCAAGCAGCCACCAGCCTTAGTCTCCCAAGCTAATTTAAAAAGTTTTTATAGAGACAGTGTCCGACTATGTTGCTCAGGCTGGTCTCAAACTCCTGGGCTCAGGTGATCCTCCTGCCTTGGCCTCCCAAAGTGCTATGCTTTCAGGTGTGAGCCACCATACCTGGCCCCATTTCTTTCTCCCTCCCTCCCTCCCTCCCTCCCTCCCTCCCTCCCTCCCTCCCTCCCTTCCTTCCTTTTTGCCTTTCTTTTAGAGATGAGGTCTCTTGCTCTGTAACCTAGGCTGGAGTACAGCCCCATGATCATAGCTCATTGTAGCCTTGAACTCCTGGGCTCAAGTGATCCTTCTGCCTCAGCCTCCCAAGTAGCTGGGATTGTAGGCAAGAGCCCCTATGTCTAGCTTTTTTCTCATTTTAAAAATTGATGTGGCCAGGCTCAGTGGGTCACTCCTGTAATCCCAACACTTTGGGAGACTGAGGCAGGAGGATCACTTGAGCCCAGGAGTTTGTGACCAACCTGGGCAGCATGGCATAATTCTGTCTCTCCAAAAAATAGAAAAATTATCCCAGCATGGTGGCGTGCACCTGTAATCCCAACTACCTGGGAGGCTGAGGTGGGAGGATTGCTTGAACCCCGGAGAGAGAGGTTGCAGTGAACCCAGGTCATGCCACTGAACTCCAGCCTGGGCGACAGAGTGAGACCCTGTCTCAAAAAAAAAATTGATGTAATATTTATATACAGTGAAATGTACAGGTTTTAAACTTCAGTGAATTTTTACAAATGTATGTAACTGTGTAACCAAAGATATATCTTAAAATCACTCCAGAAGGTGCCCTTGTAACTCCTTCTAATCATTTGCCACCCGGAAGCCATCACTGCTGTGGTTTCTGTCACCTTTGAACACTGTTTTAAGCTCCAGGTTGGCTTCAGTCACTGAAATGCCTTTTTGAGACCCCTGTTACAGACGGCTGTGGTCTAGGAGCCCATTTAAAGTGATTCTACACCCTGAATCCTGTAGCAGTTATTTACTCACCGTCCATTCAGCAAATATTTAGTGAGCCCCTACTGTGTACCAAACACTGTGCTATTCCGAGAAGCTTGGCAGTGATTAAGACAGGCTCGCTCACAGCTAGAAGGGGCCAAAGAGAGCAAGTAAACAAGAACCAGGGTCTACTTCTGGATTTTGCCTGCCTCCAGGCTATTTTAAATCACCCTAGCCAGGCGTGGTGGCTCACTCCTGTAATCCCAGCACTTTGGGAAGCTGAGGCCGGCAGATCATGAGGTCAGGAGTTCCAGACCAGCCTGGCCAGCATGGTGAAACCCCATCTCTACTAAAAATACAAAAATTAGCTGGGCGTGGTGGCATGTGCCTGTAGTCCCAGCTACTCAGGAGGCTGAGGCAGGAGAATCGCTTGAACTCAGGAGGCAGAAGTTGTAGTGAGCCAAGATGGTGCCACTGCACTCTACCTTGGTGACAGAGCAAGACTTCATCTAAAGAAAAAAGTCACCCTATTCTGGTCCATCAATTTCCCCAATAAATATATACTGAACACCTAAAGTGCACCCAGAGAAGCTGTCATAGATTCTCCCCACTGTGAGGCAGCCCAGCACGTGCTAAAGAGCTCAGATTTTAGAAGCAGACAGCCTTGGTTTGAATATTCTCTGCCTCTCTCTAGATATGAGATCTTAAGCAGGTAACTGAGCTCTCCATGCCTCAGTTTATCTAAAGTGGGAAAAATAATCATTCCTATGCCATAGGGTCAGTAGCAGGCTTAACACAACATGGGAGGAGCTTAAATTGTGCCTGACATGTAGGAAGCACTCAGGAAGTGTTAGCTGCTGCTATTACTATTACTGTCATTGTAATTATCACTTTAATAGTGGTCCTTTCATTAAGAGGACGGGTCATCTGGAGATGGCAGAGAAGCAAGTTCCTTAATCTCTCTGTTACTAACTCCTTCTAGACCAAGAGCCTGAACCCCACAGTCTCTCATCCTGCCCTGCTTTCCCTTTGCTGAGGTCTTGAAGCCACTCTCAAATCCACACTTTACAGCTTTCCAAAAAGTGTTCCTGACCCTCAGAGCAGATATCTGAATTCTGGAAAGGAGATGCAGGTTTAAGTATCACTGGGAGAAGAAGGAGGAGCCAGGGGATCTCCTTTGACTCCCGTTCGGCAAAGCCAGAGGCTTACAGGGTAAAAGAGACAGCTGACCTGGGTCCCCAGGCCTGACTAAGGCTGCATGTGTTGGGGGGGGTCCCCAGGTCTGTGCCCACCGCTACACACAGGTGCTGTGGTCAGGGTCAGAAGACCAGCGGCGCATGGTGGGCAAGTGCTTCGTGCGAGGCAATGACCTACAGCTGGACCCCAGCGATGACTGGCAGACCTACCACAACGAGATGTGCAACAGCAACACTGACTACCTGGAGACGGGCATGTGCCAGCTGGGCACCAGCGGTGGCTTCACCCAGAACACCGTGTACTTCGGTGCCCCTGGTGCCTACAACTGGAAAGGTAGGGACCATGGGGCTCTGTGGGAAGGAAGGAAGAGTAGAGACCACCCACCCCTAGTTAGCGACTGGGACAGCCGGCCTAGGCCGTCCACACTAGAGACAGGACCTCATGCCAGTATCAGCAACCACCATGACTCCTACTGTTTTAAAGCACTTACTATGTGCCAGGGGCCTTCCACATATTATGTCAGTCAATCTTTTTTTCTTTCTTTCTTTTTTTGAAACAGAGTCTCGTTCTGTCACCCAGGCTGGAGTGCAGTGGCACTACCTCGGCTAACTGCAACCTCAGTCTCCCGAGTAGCTGGGACTAAAGGTGCCCACCACCACACCTGGCTAAATTTCGTATTTTTAGTAGAGATGGGGTTTCACTATATTGGCCAGTATGGTCTTGTACTCCTGACCTCATGATCCACCTGCACTGGCTCCCAAAGTGCTGGGATTACAGGCATGAGCCACCACGCCCGGCCTTTTTATCTTTTTTCAACATAGGGTCTCACTTCGCCCAGGCTGGAGTGCAGTGACATACTCATGGCTCACTGCAGCCTCGACCTCCCCAGGCTCAGGTGATCCTTCCACCTCAGCTTCTTGAGTAGCTAGGACTACAGGCGTGTGCCACTACGTCCAGCTAATTTCTGTATTTTTTGTAGAGATGGGTTTCACCAAGTTGCTCAGGCTAGTCTCGAACTCCTGGGCTCAAGCAACAAACTTATGAAACCTGGACTAGAATACAGGTCCACATGACTTCAGTTTAACCATTTACAAACTAATTTAAAAAATAAAACATGTTCGTGGTATAAATACTACATAGACCCCTCTTCCCTTACTGAACCTTTATTGTTACAGAATCAGCAGGCAGAGGAGCCTTGAATCTCCGCCTCTTGACCAACCTGTAGCTGCAGGCATAGTTCCAGCTCTGGGCTCACCGAAGGCTGAGGCCTTCACCCCCTCTTCTGGTCCTGCCTCCCACCCCCGGTCATGTGGCACCTTGGCAGGGTCACAGATACCCTCCAGCAGCAGCCCTGGGTGCAGGGGCCAGCTAGGTAGCCCAAGTTTGGGATCAGGACCAGAAGGAGATAATAATGTGGAGTCTGACCTCAGTGTCTAGAGAGTGGGGAAAGCCATCTAGCATTTAATATCCAGGAGCTTGGGTGATTAGGTTCTAGCCATGGCTCTACATCCGCTCCCCATGGGACTATGAGCAAGTCAGCTTCCCTCCTGAGCCTCACCTTTCTCATCTGCAAAATGGGTGTCATAATTCCACCTCAAAGAATTGTTAAAATAGGCTGGGTGCAGTGGCTCATGCCTGTAATCCCAGCACTTTGGGAGGCCAAGGAAGATGGATCACTTGAGGCCAGGAGTTCGAGACCAGCCTGACCCACATGGTGAAACCCTGTCTCTACTAAAAATACAAAAATTAGTCAGATGTGGTGGCAGATGCTTGTAATCCCAGCTACTTGGGAGGCTGAGGCAGGAGATTCGCTTGAATCCAATGGGTGGAGGTTGCAGTGAGCCAAGATGGCACCATTGTACTCCAGCCTGGGTTACAAGAGCGAAACTCCATTTCAAGAAAAAGAAAAAAGAATTGTTAAAGAAGATGTGATTTACAAATGGCAAAGTGCTCACAAATATAAGGGGCTATTATTCTTATTTGGGGATGGGGGTGGGCTGGACACGGCAGAGGAAAGCAGTGGTGACTTATACTCCCCTACTCTCCCTCCCTGAATCCCTGTGAAGGAAACAGCTACATGATTCAGCGTAAGGACTGGGACTTATCTGAATATAGTTACAAGGACCCAGAGGACCAAGGAAATCTCTATATTGGTGAGTACAGTAGTGGTAGCCCATTGGGTGATAGAGGGGATGGGGGCTTAGTCCCTGGCGGAAAGGTGAGGCCAGAGTGTTGTTATGACTAATGGCATTTAGTTAAAGTAGCACACATGGATTAACCAGCACCTGTATGCCAGGCCCTGTTCCAAGCTCTCAAGATGCGAAGTTCTTGCCTTCAGGGCACTCACAGTCCAGTGTCCAGGCAGGAACGGGGCTGGGATGGGGCAAGGCTACTGGCCATCTGGAGTCTACCTACTTGCCCTACTTAGAAGAGTAGGATAGAACATCATGGTGGGGGTCAGTGGAGGGGATAGGGTGCTGGTCCAGAGTAGAAAGGGACAAAATTGACTGGGACCTTGGTTCAGTATCTTCCCTCTATCCCAGGGTACACGGTGCAGGTAGGCAGCGCCATCCTGCACCCCACAGACATCACCATTGTGACAGGTGCCCCACGGCACCGACATATGGGCGCAGTCTTCTTGCTGAGCCGGGAAGCTGGCGGAGACCTGCGGAGGAGGCAGCTGCTGGAGGGCTCACAGGTGGGCGCCTACTTTGGCAGCGCCATTGCCCTAGCAGACCTGAACAATGATGGGTAAGAATCCAGGGACATCCTCTGGGGCCAGGGAGAGCGACGGGTGGGGAAGGCTTACCTAAGCCAGGCCAGGGGAGTGGAGGATTTGCCATTGTGTGTCTGTTCACATGTTGTTTGCAGGGGTTTGCATCAGCCTGTATGGGAGTCTGGGCGTTTGCATATGGCGTTTGTGTGACCCATGCGTTTGCTTGTTTCTGCTTGTCATTTGTATGGCTCCAGGGGTGTGGGTTGTTTGGGTGTGATCTGTGCCTGCATGGCTTCTCCATGACATATGTCTCCTATTTGGTGGGTCATGTTGGCATTTCCATCTCCTTCTCACCCATGACCTATGGCTAGAAGAGCCATTTGCAGAGCGCTGTGCCCTGGCACAGTCACGCCTGTCAAACAAGAACTACGCTGCATATTGGAGGCCGACCTCACACTCCCATTTCCCTCTCCTTCTCTCCTGTGCAGGTGGCAGGACCTTCTGGTGGGTGCCCCCCACTACTTTGAGAGGAAAGAGGAGGTAGGGGGTGCTATCTATGTCTTCATGAACCAGGCGGGAACCTCCTTCCCTGCTCACCCCTCCCTCCTTCTTCATGGCCCCAGTGGCTCTGCCTTCGGCTTCTCCGTGGCCAGTATTGGTGACATCAACCAGGATGGATTTCAGGGTATGAGCCAGCACCCCTCCCCCAGCCCCCCTACTGACCGAGTGCCAGCTGCATACCAGGCTTGACAGGGCCCGCAAATGAGGCAAGATGGGACCACACCTGGGGAGCTTGCAGCAGCCCTAGAGACAGGATGTGCAGATGTGCAGAGGGAGCAACAGAGGCAAGCTCGGTGGGCCTCCAGGAGGAGCTCACATGCTGCTGTGCAGCCAAGGCTGGGCTGAGAGTGCACAGTAGAGTACTGATGAGGCACAACATGGGCACGGAAACTGGCCTGGTGTGCCCAGATCTAGCGGGTGTGGAGTGTTCCCACCAGAGGGTAGGCTGGAGAGGGAGTGGGGTGGATGCTTTGAAAGCCAGGCGGAGTAGCTTAGGGATTTATATTTGGGTAATGGTGGCGGTGGGGTGGTGGGGCATCCAGAGAAAGTTTTAGAGCAGGGAAGTGGTAAAATAACTTCGTACCTTGATGGATGATTCTGGAAGAAGTATGGGATGAGCGAGTGCAAGGGTGGAGCGAGGCCAGGGGAGTTAAGATCGAGAATGTAGTGTCAGGTGGGAGCCCTGGACATAGGGGTCCTCATAAGTATTCTGCAGGACGTGGGGACCAATCAGACCTGGGATATCAGGGACAGCGGCAGATCCAGGGCTGGAGTCAGTGCCATAAGGGCACCTGGCTTATCTGAAAGTCACTTCTCTGACAACCTGAGTTTCCCAGGACATAGCTGAGAACCAAGAGGAAGGCAAAGGAGCCTCTGCAGACCCAAAATAGGTGCCAGAAAGTTCAGTCATCAGAGGCCAACCGTGCACTGTGGAAGTCATTGGGTTTCTGCCCAGGACCTGCTTCCGCTTCCTTTACAGGCCTTACTAACAAGCTTGGCTTGCTAATTCCTTGGGCCTTATCCGATCAAAAGCTGCAAACTGGAAAGAGTTCAGCTTTAGAAGATAACCATACTTGGGGTTTATTTGTGGAGATAATGATTAGGATTTTAAAAGCCTTGACGCTTTCAGTAAAGTCCACTGTAGTTCAAGTCCCAGCCCCCGGAGTGAGACAGACGGGCTCGTTTCCTCTTCTCAACACTGATTAGTTGTGAAACTCTCGGTTATTGGAGTGTATCCTCATCTATAAAGTGGGGAACAATAGTAGCCACCCCACAGCTCTCTCATGAGAATTAAATGAAATGAATAGCTGGGCATCATGGTGTACGCTGTCCCAGCTACTTGGGAGGCTGAGGTGGGAGGATCGCTTGAGTCCAGAAGGTTGAGGCTGCAGTGAGCTGTGACCATGCCACTGCACTCCAGCCTGGGTGACAGAGCAAGACACTGACACACACACACACACACACACACACTCTAAATGCTTGACAAGGACCTGGTAGAGACACCAAGTCACCTCCATCTCCTGAAGCTACTTTCCCACCCCTGCTAGGAGGAAGCTGGGCTCCAGATGGTCCCAGTCTTCATCCTGAGCTGCAGAGCTCTGCTCTGTCCCTGGTACTCTGAGCGCTGCCCATCAGGGTAAGATCAATTCTGTGCTGGGCTCTATGGCCTGGAGCACAGAGTTAGGGAGATGTGGGGCCCAGAGTAGCTGGGTGACCTTGTCCTGCCTGTCTTCTGCAGATATTGCCGTGGGAGCCCCGTTTGAAGGCTTGGGCAAAGTGTACATCTACCACAGTAGCTCCTGGGGACTCCTCAGACAGCCCCAGCAGGTACAGAGACAGAGATGGGTCTGCTGCCCCCACCAGCCGAGATGGGCCTTCCTTGCTTTCCTTCACCTACCCCTTCCCTGTAGCCCCTTGGGCCCTGCTCCCCAGAGCCCGTCCCCACCACTTTCCCCTGCCCCCAGGTAATCCACGGAGAGAAACTGGGACTGCCTGGCTTGGCCACCTTCGGCTACTCCCTCAGTGGGCAGATGGATGTGGATGAGAACTCCTACCCAGACCTTCTAGTGGGAAGCCTGTCAGACCGTATTGTGCTGCTGCGGTGAGCTAGGAGGCCAGTGAACAGGGGTCGTTGTCTTCTTCATCTCTGTCCATGTTTGCTTCAGCTCCTTGGAAGCCTGGGCCCCAACTCTGGCCTGATCAGGCAGGAGGCACTGACATCTGTCTGGCTCTGTTGTCTCTGCAGGGCCCGGCCCGTCATCAACATCGTCTACAAGACCTTAGTGGCCAGGCCAGCTGTGCTGGACCCTGCAGTTTGCACACCCACCTCCTGGTGAGATTGCTCTGCCTACCTACTCCTCATTCCAGCAGTCCAGGAGGGGCCCCAGCTCCCAAACCCCTCCCCTGGCCTCCTGTCATCCCACCTTTAGAAATTTGATTCTTGGGACCAGCATTTGCCCTCCCTACCCAACCTCATTAAAAAGCAAAATTCCTTGCAAGAAGTAATGGATGAATTAGGGGTCAGTAGAGTATAGTGGTTCAAAGTGGGAGCTCTGGACTGCCTGGTTCAAATCCCAGCTATGCCAGTGCAGGGGTAGGCTCTGGGGAGTGAAGTCCCAGAGGAAGAGGAAAAGGGACGCATTTAAGTGGATGGATATGGAGGAGAGTCTCCTCGGGCAAATTATTAATCCCTCTGAGGCTCAGATTTCTTGCTTGTAAAACAGAATTGATAATAACCAATTCACAGGGTTGTGATAATTAAATGAGATAATAGACAAAAAGTCCTTAGCACAGCACTGTGTATACCCTAAGTGCTCAAAACATGTTAGTTGCTAAGAAAGTGACAGTACTGATGGTGATAACTTCAAGGTCTTTATGTGAATGAGGATTTTGGATCAGAAGGCAAAGGCAGACAGAGCAGGGAAACGGGGTGAGTGATGCAGGGAGATCTGGACTGGGGATTGCTGCCTGGGGTCAGGACTGGGCTGGGCCACCAACTGACTGAGGACTTCAGACAAGTCCTTCTGGGCCCTGGGCCTCAGTTTCCGCATTGGTGACCTCTAACCCTATTTTCTTTGACTCTAAGGGGAGTGGAAGGGAAGGGGCCAGGGGCACCACAGACCCACTTTGTGGACTCCCCAGTTTTGTCCCTGCCTCTCTCCAGAAGGGCTTCGGTTTCCTTTTGCCCAGTACGGAGGCGAGAGCTAGGGCCTGGATGTGTGTGTCCCCCTGTGACCCGGCCCTCCCGTACATCCCTCCAACAGTGTGCAAGTGGAGCTGTGCTTTGCCTATAACCAGAGTGCTGGGAACCCCAACTACAGGCGAAACATCAGTGAGTGCTGGGGTGCAGGGTGAAAGGGGTATGCTTCCCTGGCCCCTTGCTGACCACCCTGTCTACCTGTAGCCCTGGCGTACACTCTGGAGGCCGACAGGGACCGCCGCCCACCCCGCCTCCGTTTTGCCGGCAGTGAGTCTGCTGTCTTCCATGGCTTCTTCTCCATGCCAGAGATGCGCTGCCAGAAGCTGGAGCTGCTCCTGATGGTGAGGGAGGAGCAAGGGGCAGAATGAGGGCTCCTGGGCTCCTGGAGGAGGTGACCAGTGTCCCCCTAGATCAAGGGTGAGGGACAGGGGTCTCCCCAGAGACACGTTGGGGGCATTGGTTTGGAAAGCTATCGGTCTTTAGGGGTACAGTGCACAGTGCCCACACATGAGGAAAGATGGAGACCCTTGGGGTGGATGGCACCAAAGGGCTTATTACCTCCAAGAAGAGTGAGGGGTATGGGAGCTCATGGCTCAGCCCATCTCTGGGAAAAGGGGTCCCTGAGTGGAGGTAAGCTCAGTCCCTCTCTGGGACATCAGGGTAGAAGGAGCTCAGCCTGGGGACCCTGTGGATGAGGAGGTGAAGGGTCCTTTGAGGAGGAGAAGCCCTTTCTTTCCTCTTGAAGGGTCAGGAGGGTAGGAAGTTGCAATATGGCGATTGGACTAGAGGGAGTTCAGCCTGTCAGGTTTTCAGGGTGGAGGGGGCCCCAGCTCTTCTCTGGGGTTCAGGGTGGTGTGAAGACTCAGCTGGGGCAGGGAGCAGTGCAGGGCGGGGCTTAGCTCACCCTCTCTCCCCAGGACAACCTCCGTGACAAACTCCGGCCCATCATCATCTCCATGAACTACTCTTTACCTTTGCGGATGCCCGATCGTCCTCGACTGGGGCTGCGGTCCCTGGACGCCTATCCCATCCTCAACGAGGCACAGTCTCTGGAGAACCACACTGAGGTGGGTGGGGCCTGGAAGACCAGGGACCAGGAGGGCGGTGGGGCAAGAGGGCACTGGGTGTGGTGTGACCCTCACACCTCCGGCCACCCCCAGATCCAGTTCCAGAAGGAGTGCGGGCCTGACAACAAGTGTGAGAGTAATTTGCAAATGCGGGCAGCCTTCGTGTCGGAGCAGCTGCAGAAGCTGAGCAGGTAGCCAAGGATGGGGCGGGGCTTCCTTGACTGGCAGGGTGTGGGCGGAGCTTCATGCCAAGGCAGGCCTGAGGGGCGGGGCTTTAGCGGGACAGATGGGATGGTCAGAAAAGGGGCTTTCTTCTCCAGGTTAGACTAGGGGGCGGGGTCTGGCTGTCCTGAGAACGGGCTTTTCTCACCTAGGAGACCCCAGGGGCGGGACCTAGTTGATCCTGGAGGGCCCTGGGGCCGGGGCTTTTGGCTGAGTCCTGGGCTCCTGCTCTCAGGCTCCAGTATAGCAGAGACGTCCGGAAACTGCTCCTGAGCATCAACGTGACGAACCCCCGGACCTCGGATCGCATCGGGGAGGATGCCCACGAGGCGCTGCTCACCCTGGTGGTGCCTCCCGCCCTGCTGCTGTCCTCAGTGCGCCCTGTGAGTGCCCGCCGGCCGGCTCAGAGCCCAAGCAGGGCTCCACCGCGGCTTTGCATCCCCATATGCATGTCCTCTGCAGGTGTTATCATCTGCCACCTGTCCCCCTCCTCTGGTCTGGGCCTCCTCGGGGGCCTTAGCGTCTTTACTGCTTGGAGAACCCGGTTCTCAAGCTCTAGGGCTTCTGACCCTGCACCACAGAGGAGGGAGGACAAGCCCTACTTTGACCCCACCCTGACCTAATTATTCTCCTTCTTTCCTCAGTCCGGGGCCTGCCAAGATAATGAGACCATCTTTTGTGAGCTGGGGAACCCTTTCAAACGGAACCAGAGGGTGAGCACTGGCCACATCTTCCCAGCCCTCCTGGGTCCCCTCTGATGAGCTCCTTGTCCTTCTAGCTTCTGCCTGCCTGCTTCCCGGGCTCCCTCGAAGTGGAGAGCCGCAGTGAGGGAGGGGAGACCCACTAGAGGGTGAGAAGAGGCCCAGAAACTAAGACAAATGGGGCTGCTAGGGGGCTGTGTGCAAAGCTAGAGCAGGTGAGTGGGAGGAAACCAGTTTTACCAAGCATCAACTGTGCGCCAGCCCCTGAGCCCAGCACGGCACTTCTTTGATACCATTCTCACAGCCTTCTGCGGAGGCAGATGCTCTTTTACCGAAGAGGAAACACACACTTAGAAAGTTTCAGTGACCTGCTCAAGGCTGTGTAGCTCAAAAGTAGCAGAGCTGTGACCCCCCATGGAGGAAAAGGGGAAAGGGAGACAGAGGTGAGATAGGGAGGTGGAGACCCCTCACCCAGAACAGGAGGAGAAGGCCAGAAAGCCAACTAGAATAGTGTGCAGGATCCCTCCTTTCCCATGATATCACCCCCACCGGGCCCCAAATGCCACTCTCTGCCTCCCCTACTCTTTTGGCAGATGGAGCTGCTCATCGCCTTTGAGGTCACTGGGGTGACCCTGCACACAAGGGACCTTCAGGTGCAGCTGCAGCTCTCCACGTGAGTGATCTCGAGAAGCCAGTCTGGGTCAGGGCTGAGGTATCCTGGATCACCTTCCTACTCCCTGCATTTCCTTCCAAGGTCAAGTCACCAGGACAACCTGCAGCCCATGACCCTGACTCTGCTGGTGGACTATACACTCCAGACCTCGCTCAGCATGTGGGTACCACTCTCCACACCACCCCCCCCACCCCAGCCTGCTGTGCCTGAGCTAGGGGTTCCCTATCCCCAAGGTACTTTCCAAGCTCCTCTGACACCTCTCTTGGCCCAGTGTCCTCAGGCCTCTACCTTCCCTGGGTCATCCTTTCCTTAACACCACCAGTCACTATTATTATTGTTACTATGATTATCCCCCCTCTAAGCGGACAGAAGTGGAGGAATCAGCAACCTGGGGGCTGAGGTGTTGTCCCTCCCATTTTATAAGAGCTTATTGCGTTAAGGGTTTTATATACATCGTCTCAATGACTTCTCACAGCAGCCCTATGGTACAACAGCTATAATTAAGTCCATTTTACAGATGAGGAGACTGAGGCTCAGGGAGGATAAATAGCTTGCTCGAGTCCATACAGCTGGTAAATGGCAGAGCTGGGGTTTCTAATGAGGTGTCTGATGTCAGAGGGGCCGTAGTTAACCAGCTTTCATGCCCACCCCTTCTGCCAGGGCCCTGGTCTCCTGTCCCCCATGACTCTAGCATTCTTCTTACCCTTAGGGTAAATCACCGGCTACAAAGCTTCTTTGGGGGGACAGTGATGGGCGAGTCTGGCATGAAAACTGTGGAGGATGTGGGAAGCCCCCTCAAGTATGAATTCCAGGTAAGGGGCTCTCTGAGGTCCTGGGCTGGGGACTCATAGGAAGGATAGTTTTTATTTTTTCTGAGGTCTGAAGGTGGGAGGGTTGGGTTGGTAAGATGGAGATGGTTTTCCAGGGGAGAATGACCATGACACATCTTGTACCCACAGGTGGGCCCAATGGGGGAGGGGCTGGTGGGCCTGGGGACCCTGGTCCTAGGTCTGGAGTGGCCCTATGAAGTCAGCAATGGCAAGTGGCTGCTGTACCCCACGGAGATCACTGTGCATGGCAATGGGTCCTGGCCCTGCCAACCACCTGGAGACCTTGTCAACCCTCTCAACCTCACCCTTTCTGTAAGGACACCATCAGGGATATTTCATTTGCATCTCATTTGCATGCTGCAGGGCAGAAGGGGCCAGTGTCTTTCCCCTCCCTCCCCTCATACCCCTTTGGCAACCTGTCTCTCCCCCACTTTCCCCTCTGGCAACCCTTCTCCCGATTCGTCCTCTGCCCTGCCAGCAAATCTCCTCTTTCCTCTCCAGGACCCTGGGGATAGGCCATCATCCCCACAGCGCAGGCGGCGACAGCTGGATCCAGGGGGAGGCCAGGGCCCCCCACCTGTCACTCTGGCTGCTGCCAAAAAAGCCAAGTCTGAGACTGTGCTGGTGAGTGGCCAGGGTGGGGTTGGAAGGGATTGCACCCATCACATCACAGGCTGCCTGGGCACCAGGGGCACACAAAGCAAGGGAGACCTCAGTGTGATGAGGCCCCTGCCCTTGGGAGCCTCCACACACAGCAGGGAGCCTCACCTCCTGTCCTCGGAGGGTGCTTCACTCTGATGGAGAAGCATCGAAGACAAGGAACCAAAGGAGGAGACCCTGGCTAAGGAGCCCCAGCCTGTTGGGGACGATAGAGCTGCTCAGAGCCTTGGTGGCAGGAGGCAGTGTGGGGCAGGGCTTGTGGGTGGTGTGCACGCCCTCTGCGGGTAGGGAGAGGAGAGCTGGCCTGGCAAGGAGGTTGGAGCCCAGCTGGGTAGAGAGTGGGGAGTGGGGTCCCAGGGACAGGGACTGGCAGGGAAGTGGGTGTAGGAGGTTGGGCCCTGTTTACATGAGCAGAGGCCAGATTTCATGTTATCCATCTGCCTGGCATTGTATGAGCTTTGCCCAAAGAATGTGTCTGAAAAGCATAACTGTGAGGTGGGGGGTATGTGTGTGAGTGAAAGGATGTCAGGCCCCTTCAAGTCACCCAGGGGTGAGGCAAAGCCTGGGAGGGCGGAAGGTAAGGAGCACAGCATGAGGAATCTGGAGGCCCAGACTGTGTCACATCTTGTGTTCCCTGCCCTCCTCAGACCTGTGCCACTGGCCGCGCCCGCTGTGTGTGGCTGGAGTGCCCCATCCCTGACGCCCCTATTGTCACCAATGTGACCGTGAAGGCACGAGTGTGGAACAGCACCTTCATCGAGGTCAGTGCCTGGGTCTGAAGGTCTCCCCACCACCCATCCCGGTGGAGAGGACCAGGGTCATAGCAGAGTTGTGTGTGAGAGCAGGGCTGCATGGATGTGTACGTGTTTGTCTCCAGCCAAAATGACCTCTCTTGTGTCCATTTTGTATCCATTACTTCCTACCTCTGTGCCTTTCCCCAGGCTATTCCTTCACCCTGGAATGCCTGTTTCCCCTCTGTCATCTCTGCATGTAAACTCCTACTTAGTTTTCAAGGTCTCTATCAGATGCTTCCCATCAGTGAGGTCTCTGTCAGATGCTTCCCATTACTGAGGTCTTTTCTGGCTCTTCCAGCTGAAAATGACCTCTCTTCCAGAGGACACCCACCTAACTTTCTCAGAAGCCACATGTGCCTTTATCACACTCGACTCTGGGTTGCAATGACTCACGTGCCAACTTTCTCATGCCATCTACACCAAACTTTTTCTCTGCGTGACTAGATTAGAAATCTTCAGCTTTGCAGGCCATAGAGTTTCTGTTGCCACTACTCAGTTCTGCCATTGCAGCACAAAAACAGCCATTCAAATGAATGGGCATGGCTGTGTGCCAAAAACACTTCATTCACAAAAGCAGGTGCCGGGCCAGATTCAGCCCTCGGGCCTGACCTAGACCATGACCTTCATTGTCTCGGCTGTCCCCAGCATCCAGCACAGGACCTGACGCACAAATAAATGAATAATGTGCATTTGTATGTGGAGGGAAGGCCTGGCTGACAGATCCTTTGCAATGCTGTTTAAGGATGCCGCATGGTGGGAGGGTGAGGGGGAAGGGGTGCTTAGGGTTGGAGGGAGGCTCAGAGTAGTGTCAAATGTTCACCTTGACCCACCCCCTCCCCATCCAGGATTACAGAGACTTTGACCGAGTCCGAGTAAATGGCGGAGCTACCCTGTTCCTCCGAACCAGCGTCCCCACCATCAACATGGAGAACAAGACCACGTGGGTGAGTGACATGTTCACTAGGACAGCAGTCTCCAGCCAGAGCTTGGGAGAGCCAGGCATCTTTTAAGAGCACATTGACACACTTCAGCCCTGCGGTTCTCAATCTTGGCAGCACGATAAGAATCATCTGGAGGAGTTCTGCTGTCTGGACCGCACCCAGAGCAATTAAACCCAAGTCCCTGGGAGTGGATTCCGGTATTGCTGTGTTTAAAGTCCCCCAAGTGATGCTAATGTGCAACGAGGGCTGAGAACCACTGTATTCACTTCTGTGATCTGCGCAGTGTCTTGGTGAAGAGTAGGACGGGATCACCTCTCTATTTTATGGCTGAGAAACTGAGGCCTAGAGAGATGCGAGTGGCCTCCCCAAAGTGGCACAGCTTGTCTGGGGCTGGAACGTGGGCCTCCTGATTATCTCACCATTGTCACATCCACCATGGACATGTGAGCTTCTGGCCACAGGCAATATATATATAGAGAGAAAGGCAGGATAACAAGGCAGAACGGAGGTTCAGCTGTGAGAACCTGTTCAGTATTGGCAGACGATGTCCTCGTCTACGTGACAGAAAAGAGAAGCCATGGAAAAGCTATTATTTTATTTTATTTTGCTTCAGAGACAGGGTGTCACTCTGTTGCCCCAGCTGGAATGCAGTGGTGTGATCATGGGTCACTGCAGCCCTGAGCTCCTGGGCTCAAGAAAGCTCCCACCTCAGCCTCCTGAGTGGCTAAGACCACAGCCATGTGCCACGATGCCCAGCTAATTTTTTATTTTTAGTAGAAATGAAGTCTCACTGTGTTGGTCAGGCTGGTCTTAAACTCCTGGTCTCAAGTAGTCCTCCCACCTCAGCCTCCCAAAGCACTGAGATTACAGGTATTAGCTACCACACCTGGCCCAAAAAGCTACTAGACCCAATAAGAGAATTCAGGAAGTCCAAGAGGTCAAAACAAGATCAAAATGCCCAACCCCCTCGATTTCCTACATGCTAGCAATAACCAGTCATATAGTTGCAAAGATCCCCTGCGAATTCGCCAGAAAAGTGATAGAGCATCCAGTAATCAATATAACAAGAAATGTGCAACAAAACCTTGAGTAATGGTTAGAAAAAAGTCAATATTATCAAGTTGTCAGATCTTCCCACCCACATTATGAGTCTCAGTAGGATTCAGGAAGCTTGAAAAAGAAGTTCCCAGACTTGATTCTCAGTTGCCTCTAGAAGAATGCATATGATAAAATTGCTAATAATTTCTTGTGAAAGGAGGTGAGTGAAGCTATGTGGGAGATACGTATAGGGGGCCGAATGCAGGGTTGGTTATATATGTTATTGTACATTTCCTAAGACAAATTAATGTAGTGTAGAAGAGGTAAAAGGGCCAGAAAGATCGGTGGAACGAAATGGAATTTTATGAAACAGATGACCTTTTTAATCCGTGGAGAAAGGTAGATTATTAAGTAGTGTTGGGAGAACACATTTGGAAAATAAAGACAAACCTCTACCTCACACGGTAAACAGAAATAGAGCTAGATTAAACATTTAAATGTAGCAATTCAAATGAATATGCCAGAATATAATATAAGATTTTTAACAGTCATTTTTAATTATGGGAAGAGTGAGTTATAAAGCCAGAAGTCACAAAGAAAAAAATAGATAAATTAGACTCTGTGAAAATTTAAATCTGTACATAGCAAAAGAGTAAAGAAACTAAACGAGGCTGAGCCTCGTGGCTACTGCTTGAAATCCCTGAACTTTGGAGACTGAGGCAGGCAGATTGCTTGAGCCCAGCCTTATCTCTGCAAATAAATACAAAAATTAGCTGGGTGTGGTGGTGCACACCTATAGTCCCAGCTACTTGGGAGGCTAAGGCAGAATAATCGCTTGAGCTCAGGAGGCTGAGGCTGCAGTGAGCTGTGATTGTGCCACTGCACTCCAGCCTGGGTGACAGAGCGAGACCTTGCTACAAAACAAAAACAAAAACTAAAGGGGCAAATGATATACTGCATTTTAAAAATGTTGACAGCATATATGACAAAATAGTGATATGTATTTTTAATATATAAAGGATATTAATAGGCAATAGGGTGAAATATAAATGTTCATCTTGCTCATAAAAAAATAGAAATCATAGCAACAAGATTTTTCTTGCCATCACTATTATAAAAATAATAATGCTGGCCAGGTGCAGTGGCTCACATCTGTAATCCCAGCACTTTGGGAGGCCAAGGCGGGCGGATGATATGAGGTCAGTTTGAGACTAAGCCTGGGCAATGTAGCAAAACATCCTTCTATTACAAACACAAAAATTAGCTGGACATGGTGGTAAATGCCTATAATCCTAGCTACTGAGGAGACCGAGGCAGGAGAATTGCTAGAACCTAGGAGACGGATATTGTAGTGAGCCTAGATCGTGCCACTGCACTCCAGCCTGGGCAATAGAGTACAACTCTGTCTCAAAAAAACCAAAAATTATAATGCTGTCTAATGCTGATGAGGCAGAGAGAAATGCTATTGATTTGGATGATAAATTGGTAGATTCTTTTAGGAGATGAAGTTTTCAATATGTATTAAATTTTAGAGTGCCCATTTCCTCAGATCCAGCACATGAGAATATATTGTAAGGAGCTAACAGGACAAGTGTACAAAGACAAATGTACGGGGATTTCAAGAATTATTTATAAGGGCAGAAAATTGGAAACAATCTAAAAGCCCTTCAGTAGGAGATCAGGTCAATAAATTATGGTACATTTCCTTCAATGCCTGTGCAGTCCTCAGGAGAAATTAAGTTGATCTTTATCAATTGACATGGAAAGGTTGCTGCCTGAGCATGGTGGCTCATGCCTATAACCCTAATACTTTGGGAGGCCGGGGTAGGAGGATCGATTGAGCTTAGGAGTTTGAGGCTATCCCGGGCAAAAAATGAGACCCATCTTTAAAAAAAAAAAAAAATCAAGAAATTATCTGGATGTAGTGGCACATGGTCCCAGCTACACTGGAGGCTGAGGCAGGAGAATCGCTTGAGCCCAGGAGGTGGGGTCTCCAGGGACATGTTTGTGTCACTGCACTCAAGGCTGAGCAACAGAGTGAGACCCTGTCTTGAAAAGAAACAGGTTGCTGAAGGGTGTATGTGGCATGATCCCATTTATATAGACCATATTAATATTCCATATTAAAAAATATGGAAAGAGACTTACCAGAGATTACAGAGATAGTAATTTCTAGAGATTAAAATTACTGGGAACCAGCTGGGAGTGGTGGCTCACGACTGTAATCCTAGCACTTTGGAAGGCCAGGGTGGGTAGATGACTTGAGGTTGGGAGTTCAAGACCAGCCTGGTCAACATGCAGAAACCCCCATCTCTAGTAAAAATACAAAAATTAGCCGGGTGTGGTGCTGAGCACCTGTAATCTTAGCTACTCAGGAGGCTGAGGCAGGAAAATTGCTTGAGCCCAGGAGGTGGAGGTTGCAGTGAGCCAAAATTGTGCCACTGCACTCCAACCTGGGCAACAGAATGGAACTCCATCTCAAAAATATACGTATATATATTACTGGGAATGTTTAGTTTTCTTTATATCATCTGTATTTTTTAAAAAATCATCAAAATAATTTTAAAAGAAGTGAAAATCATGTATAGTCAGAAAAAACACGGCTGGGCACAGTGGCTCCCACCTGTAATCCCAGCACTTTGGAAGGCCAAGACAAGTGGATCACCTGAGGTTAGCAGTTCAAGACCAGCCTGGCCAATATGGTGAAATCCCATCTCTACTAAAAATACAAAAATTAGCCGGGCATGGTGGTGCATCCCTGTAATTCTAGCTACTTAGAAGGCTGTGGTAGGAGAATTGCTTGAACCCAGGAGGCAGTGGTTGCAGTAAGCTGAGATCTCGCCACTGCACTCCAGCCTGGGTGACAGAGCAAAACTCTGTTTCAAAAAAAGAACCCAAAAAACAAAACTCAACACACACACATCCATATTTATCTCTACTGTAGGGGAAGAAAAAGAGTGGGACTATTGGCCAGGCACGGTGGCTCACACCTGTAGTCCCAGCATTTTGGGAGGCTGAGGTCGGGAGTTCAAGACCAGCCTGGCCGGCATGGAGAACCCCGTCTACTAAAAAATAGAAAATTAGCTGGGCATGGTAGTACATGCCTGTAATCCTAGCTACTCGGGAGGCTGAGGCAGGAGAATCACTTGGGCCCATGAGGTGGAGGTTGTAGTGAACCGAGATCATGCCATTGCATTCCAACCTGGGTGACAGAGTGAGACTCCATCTCAAAAAAAAAAAAGGGACTATATACCATAAATTCTTTGTGGTTTTTTTTGTGTGAATATTTATGGAGTGCTTGCTGTGTGGCAGGTGTTGCTCTAAGCAGTTTTCTTATATTAAACACACTTAATTCTCCCCAGCAACCTATGAGACAGGTATTATTCTCATTTTACAGATGAACAACAGAGAGGTTAAGTAACTTGCCAAGGCCACACAGCTAGTGAATAGCAAAGCTGGGTTGGAACCCAGGTAGTCCGGCTCCAGAACCCCTGCTTTTGGCTGTTGTGCTATTCTGTGAGGTAGGGCCCCATTGGAAAGCAGAAAGCATGAGATTCAGAGGGGTGCAATTACTTGTCCATGGTCACACAGCTCGTCAAGGATGGAGCTGGTACCCAGGCCCAGATGCGTCGGTCACAGACCCAGACTCCAGGCCACCTCCCGGATCTGAGGCTGCTCCTCTGGAGCCAGGTCTTTGCCTAGGAGAAGCAGGAAGGACCCCTGGACTCAGTGGGGCCGGCAGGGGCTTTTTCCAGTCCCAGACTGCCCCCTCCTGGCAGCAGGACAAACGGCAGGTGCCCTGGCCTAGCTGGCGATAGGAAGTGTGAGGAAGGGCCGAAGTGGGCAGACACAGGGCTGAGTCCTCCTCTCCCCGCTCCAGTTCTCCGTGGACATTGACTCAGAGCTGGTGGAGGAGCTGCCGGCTGAGATCGAGCTGTGGCTGGTGCTGGTGGCCGTGGGTGCGGGGCTGCTGCTGCTGGGGCTGATTATCCTCCTGCTGTGGAAGGTTAGGAGCCCAGCCCCTCAACTCCCACTCCCAGACCTCTACCAGCACACTCACCAGCCCTTCCTCCAGCCCACGCCTCCCCATCCTGGTCCTCCCTTCCATCGCACTGCAGCCCTTCCTCCCTTTCCTCTCCACCTTCTCCCCCAGCTTTTCAGGCTCACCCCTGAGCCAGGGTTAGTGGGGGGAGCTGCAAGCTGGAAAGGGGGACCCAGGAGCTCTGGCCTCTGACCACATCACCAAGCTGGGACTGAGCTCCAGCCCCAGGCTCCCCAGCCCTCAGCCCTGGTCCACGCATGCTGGTGAGGACAGCCCAGCGCCCCCTGATGGCCCGTCCCCACCTCCTCCCCTCCTCAGTGCGGCTTCTTCAAGCGAGCCCGCACTCGCGCCCTGTATGAAGCTAAGAGGCAGAAAGCGGAGATGAAGAGCCAACCGTCAGAGACAGAGAGGCTGACCGACGACTACTGAGGGGGCAGCCCCTGCCCCCAGCCCACCCGGGTAACGGCCTCCGGGCCCCTTCCCCGAGCCCCACAGCTGGCCAGGCCTCTGACTCTGTCCTATCTGCTCCTCTTCCTTTATGGGGCTGCTCTGACCTCATTCTGTCCACACCACCACCTCAAAGATCAGGCCACTCTGACTCCCATCCAGCCCTCTGGTCTGGCTTTTATCAGCCTCCCCCTGAGCCTCTCGGTGACTTGGGACCCCATGAGGGAGCCATAAAACCCTCTCCGTGATGACTTTGCTTTCTGGGGATTGGAACAAGGTCAAGAACAAGGCCAGGCCCATCTCTGTAAACCACAGGCATGTCCAGAATAATTCTTCCCTCCATTTCTATCCCTAGGGAAGGAGGGGAGCAGTAGAGACCCTCCTCCTGGGAACTAGCACATTTCCTCCTGAGCAGCCCTTCCAGGATAGCAGTGGACCCACTCCCAACGGTGTGGTCAGGGTAGACTGCCCTGTCTTCCTGGCCATTCTGCCCACTGTCTCTGCAGCTGCCCTTGGTCTCCATCTGCCTCTTCCTCTTCTCTCTGCCTCCCTCAGCTCCTCCTTCCTCTTGGGCCTGGGGTGGGGAAACTCATCCTCCATCTCTCAGTGCAGGGAGATGGGATGTGTTTCAGTGAAGAGTTCTGGCTTTGAGGACCTCTGTGGGGAAGAGGGAGAGGCCAGGCACTCCCACCCGGCGGCCTCAAACTCTGGATGCTGATGTTCTTTCTCTTCTCCCTCCAACTCCAGTGTGACTTCTTTAAGCGGACCCGCTATTACCAGATCATGCCCAAGTACTACGCGGTGCGGATCCGTGAGGAGGAGCGCTACCCGCCTCCAGGGAGCACCCTGCCCACCAAGAAGCACTGGGTGACCAGCTGGCAGACTCGGGACCTTTACTACTGATGTCTTCCCTGATCCCAGCCCCTCCCACCTCAGTGTCTTTTTTTTTTTTTTTTTTTTGAGACAGTCTCACCCTGTCACCCAGGCAGGAGTGCAATGGCACTATCTCAGCTCACTGCAATCTCTGCCTCCTGGGTTCAAGCGATTCTCCTGCCTCAGCCTCCCAAGTAGCTGGGATTACAGATGCTCGCCACCACACCCAGCTAACTTTTTTGTATCTTGAGCAGAGACAAGATTTCACCATTTTGACCAGGCTGATCTTGAACTCCTGACCTCGTGATCCGCCCATCTCAGCCTCCCAAAGTGCTGGGATTACAGGTGTGAGCCACCGCGCCCAGCCCCAGTGTCTGCTTTCTTCCTATTTATCCTAAGTTGTGCCTCTGACAGTCCACAGGGGCCACCGCTGCCTTTGGCTGGCACCAGCAGGCTCAGGCATATCCACCTCGTCAGCGCAGGCACATGCTGTCTGGCCACGGGCATCTCCCCGAAGCGGGGCCAGCACTATGGACCTTACAACGCCAAGCACGCTGCAGTCCTGTGCCCTAGACGCACATGGGCCCCACTGCTCATGGACCGTGCTGGTGCATCACTGATGGTGCATGGGCTCACCATGTCCCAGCCTCTGCCTGCTCCAAAACCGAGCCAAAACCAAGCCAAAGGGCCTCAGCCAGAGCCGGGAGGAAAAGGCCCCCCAGCATGGTGACACCTCCCCTTTCACACTGGATCCATCTTGAGACACAGTCACCAGATTGACTTTGCTGTCAAAACCACTGACAGGGTGGAGCCCCCTGGACCCCCAGTTGGTGGCTCCCCGAACACCCAGGCCAGAGAGCTGGGGTCCTGCCTAAGGTTGCCCATGGGGGCATTTGTAGGACCTGGCATGCTCAGACCTAAGAGCAAGGAACTACAAAGGAGTTGTAGAACAGCTTTCTTTCCTGCATCTCCGTGAAGTCTCTGTCCTCGGCCACAGACTGAACTCGCAGGGAATGCAGCCGGAAGGAACAAAGACAGGCAAACTGCAAGGCAGCCTGGACCTCGCGCCCTGGGGAGCATGGTGGGAACCTCCACAGAGAGGAGGGGACGGATTCTGGGCTAACAGATGTTGGAAGGCGACAGAGGAGATGCCACTTCTGACTCACCACTACCAGCCAGCCTCTGAAGGGCCCAGAGAGACCCTACAAGACCACGGAGGGAATGATACTTGAATGTAGAACAGGCAGGGGGCCCTACTGTGCCCAGCCAGCCAGACCCCATGCTGCCCCCACTGACCATGCGTTGGGGGCCTAGAGGTGGACTTCTCAGCTGTCCTTGGCTTTCAGAGCCAGCCTGGCTCTGCTCCCTCCCCCATGGGCCGTGTCCTAATGCCCATTCCAGAAGCTGAGGCTAGTTCCAGAAAACCTCTCCTGACCCCTGCCTGTTGGCAGCACGCTCCTCAGCCCCAGCCCCTTCCATGGTACTGTAGCAGGGGATGTCCTCCCCGCCTCGTGCCTTCTTTGTATATTGGCTTCTCACGGCAACCAATAAACAGTTCCCAGTTTGTATGCATCTGCCTCCACCCACCCCCCAGCCCTGGTCAATGAATGATACATCATCCAGCCAACACCTCGGTAGATGAAGCCAGGGCTAGGGGCTTGTAGGTTTGAGGGTAAAGATTGATGAAGGCAGCCAGGTACAGTGGCTTCCACCTTTAATCCCAGCACTTTGGGAGACTGAGGCAGGCAGATCACCTGAGGTCAGGACAAGCCTGGCCAATGTGGAGAAACTCCATCTCTACTAAAAATACAAAAATTAGCTGGGTGCAGTGGTGCACACCTGTAATCTCAGCTACTTGGGAGGCTGAAGCAGGAGAATCATTTGAACCTGGGAGGCAGAGGTTGCACCACTGCACTCCAGCCTGGGCGACAGAGCGAGACTGTCTCAAAGAAAAAAAAAGAGACTGATGAAGGTGACTGCTCCCAGGAATCCTCCCATCTAAGAGTCGGACATAGAGTTCCAGAACAGAAGATGAGGATTGAGTCCTGGGGGGCCTGGGTGAAATCCAGAACACCTTCCTGGAGGACAGTGTGCTGACCCTGGGGAGGGACAGGCAGGCTGAGGCGGCAGCGTGCAGGGTCAGGAAGAGACAGAGGCTTCTTAGCTGTAGGAACAGGCGGTCCTGGCAGGCTGTGGAGGGAGGCTGGGTGCAAGGGTGGAGAGAGGAGAGCCCCCGCGGTCGGGCTGAATTCAGATAAGCGCCTGCTGGTTTCCCCACAACCCCCAGCAGAGGCCATAAAGAGATCAGAAGGTAAACTACTGATCCGAGGCTGCAGAGACTCAAAGGTCACAGTGTCCAGCCTCGAGGAGCTGAGTGGGAGTGTTTGAGTGCCTGGCTTATGCGGCCACAGCGCGTGGATCAAGCCAGAGCTTTGCTTCCTGCCTTGTCCTGGGCTCCCAGAGCAGCTTCCTCCTCTGCCCTCGGTGCGTCCCCTCCACACAGGCCTGGGGAAGGGAGCAAGGCTGTTCCCCCTGTGACCTCTGTGACCTGGAGTGTGACCTAGGTCCTTCTGTTAATTTTCCTCATAGTGGTGAACTTTGGCAAGACTTCACTGAAGGCTGGAAATTGCTACCCAGAGAAGCCCAGAGGTGGAAGCCAGTCTGATATGCTCAGAGCTCACAGACCTGGCTGTTCTGGCAGACCCACCTGCTGCCTGGGTGCCTCCCAGCCTCCTCGTGATGGCAGCTGTCTGCCCCACCTCCCTCCACTGGGGCTCAGCTCACAACGGGGTTCTGGGCCCAATGCATGCCCCTTTCCCCCCTCCTCATTTTCTGTGCGGCGATTTGTCCCTTCCCAGGGTAACTGACAATGGAATGCCCGCTTTCCCCAGGAAAACCCTAACCCCTACCCGGAGCTGCCAAGCTCTCAGAACCCGGTGCGTGGAGACCACACTTTGTTTTCTAGAATCTGGGATCCACTTCTTTGGAAGTCACACATGTGAGTTGTCAAAGCTCCGCCCAGTCTTGTCCTTTCAGCTACTTCCTGCTTAAGGCAGGGGCGTTGACACATCCCTCTCTGGCCAGTTTCATAGACACCCCCCTCCAAGTCTCCCGTGAGCCACCGCTCGAAGAACATACACACACACATACACATACACACACACACATACACATACACCCACATACACATATACACACACATACAAACACATGCGCATATATACACACATACACACGAGGATAAGTCATTTTCAGAATTAGTGTAAGCTACATATCATGAAAGAAACAACTGGCAGAGATGTAGCATACCCACTGCAAAAGAACCCTTGGCAAAAGTTCCGTGGAGAGTCCCCCCACCAACCACATATAGCAGGAGATTTGGGAATTGGGGGGTTAATCTCGGCATCACCTAACCAAACTTGACTACGATGTACCGATGTACCGTGTCACAGCACTGCTGTTAGCACCCTGCGGCAGGCTCTGCAGAAGGAATTCTCCAAGCACAGAGCCCACATTATGGAATTCCAGCCTAAGGCGAAGGTCGTGGGAAATCTTTCCCTCCCCTCCACCTAGCCTTAGAGACCACGGCCTTTTCAGGGTTACTTCAGTTTTGACAATAACAGCAATAGCTACCATTTATTGCTAGGCACAGAGCTAGACCTTTTTTTTTTTTTTTTTTTTTTGAGACAGGGTCTTACTCTGTCACCCAGATTGGAGTGTCATGGCACAATCACGGTTTTGGCTCACTGGAGCCTTGACCTCCAGGGCTCAAGCAGTCCTCCTACTTCAGCCTCCCAAGTAGCTGGGACTATAGGTACATGCCACTGTGCTTGGCTAATTTTATATTTTTTGTAAAGACAAGATCTTGCTATGCTGCCCAGGCTGGTCTCAAACTCCTGGGCTCAAGCAATTCTCCCACCTCAGCCTCTGAAAGTGAGGACCAGGCTTTTTGTACTTAATATGCTATATATTCTTCTGTGAACTTGAGAACTGCAGTCACCAGCATCATCATTCACGTCCTAATTGCCAGCCCCGTAGGTATTTGGTGGTTCTCTGTAATATCTCTCTGGCATGCTCCCCAACTCGCCCTGTCTTCTTTTTCACCCTGTCCTCCCTACCACGTGCTGAGCACTGCCTGATGCTGAAGATAGAGCAGTGAATAAGACAGATACAATCCCTGCTCTGCCTTCATGGAGCTTAAAGTCTAGCAGGAAAACAGATCAGGTGGCAAACAATTATCACTCAATTGATAAGAGCTACTACCAGCTCCTTTTAACCCCTCCTTCCTGGATTTGTCCAGGTAGCTTTCAGCCAATCCCTTTCCTCCCAAAGGTACCTGTTTTCACATGTCCTGATCTTTCCCTGTCCTCCCTTAAAGGGTCTTGTGGGTTCCCAGTCTGGATGACAGTGACCCAGACTGAATATTTGCTAAGATCAGGAGATTTAAGGAGCCCTCGAAGGGAGCCTAGAACTGAGCTTGGTAGGATCAGGGAAGGCTTCCAGGAGGAAGGGATGACTAAGCAGCTGAGACCTGAAGAATGGGCAGAAAGAATGATCCAGACAGAAGAGATGCATTTGCAGCAGCTGGTTCAAGGCAGCAGACAGCTGGGAGCTGTGGGGGGAATGCAGAGAGTCTGGAGAATCAAGTCAGAGTAGATCGTGTGACAACTGGAAAGGCTCCAGGAAAAAGTAGAGAGCCATTGATGGCTGAGCACGGTGGCTCACGCCTATAATCCCAGCACTTTGGGAGGCTGAGGCGGGCAGATCACTTGAAGTCAGGAGTTCAGGCCCAGCCTGGCCAACATGGTGAAACCCATCTCTACTAAAAATACAAAAATTAGCCGGGTGTGGTGCAAGCCTGCAATCCCAACTATGTGGGAAGCTGAGACAGGAGAATTGCTTGAACCTGGGAGGAGGAGGTTGCAGTGAGCCAAGATTGTGCCACTGTACTCCAGCCTGGGCAACAGAGTGAGACTCCATCTCAAAAAAAGAAAAATCGCCATTGGAAGACTGTAAGCAAGGAAGTAATAAGGTCAGATCTGCAGTTGAAAATGATCCCTGAGTCTCAATTTTCTTATCTATAAAATGAGCTAAGAATAGTAAAACCAGGGAATTAAATGATAAAATGTCTGCAAACAGTGCCTGGCATATAGCTTATTACTCATGCAGCTAAGAAGCCCTTCCATTTTCGAGGCCTTGCTCTGTGAGGGCTGTTTGGCAATCACATTCAGTTATAGCTAACTATTTACTTATGTAGCTCTCTCTGAAACTTAGAAATGAAATCATAGAGGAAAAAGGTCGTGTCTTGATCCTGTCTGTGTTCCCTGTTCCCAGCATAAAGCCTAACATATTAGGCTAACGTCACCGAGTAAAGAAAGCATCAAAGTGGCGAGTCGGGCCCCAAGCCCACGATGGGAGATACCATATTTGGCCACAAGAGGGCGCGTCGCGTTTTCTCCAAGAGAAGCGGGGCTGCCGGGGAAGGACGGGCTCCGGGCCCCCCAGGACATTTCACCTCCCGGGACTTTGCTCTAAGGAAGCTCAGTGCGAAGGAGGTGGCTTTCCCAGGTGGTCGCGCTAGGTAGCCAAGGCTTTATGTTCAGTCAGATGAGCTATATAATAAAAGTGTTCACAGGCACGTTGTATAACTGCTGCCTCCACCACTAGTCGTGACGGCTTTACTCTGGATGTTTTTCAATTGGAAAAGCAAACTCCGCCTTTTCCTGAGACTCTTGGATCTTTGTGGAAGCGGGTGGGCTGCACATATATGGGACGGATTTGTATAGGCTTGCACCCTGGTTCCGAATTTTGCAAATATTCGCAGTCTGGGTCACTGTCACCCGGACTGGGAATCCACAAAACCCGTTAAGGGCGGACAGGTAAAGATCATGACAGGTGAAACAGGTACCTTTGGGTTGCAGGAAATAAATCGGTTGAAAGCTACCTAGACAATTCCGGAAAGGAAGGGTTAAGAGGAACCCGCAGGTGAAGGAGATTCGAGGGAGAAGCGAGGGAGAGGCAGCGTGGAAGAGGAAGCGAAAGGGCTATCGGGGCTCTGGGAAGGAAGGGGTTGATTCGGGCTTCGCCCCGGGGAGGAAAGGGAGGAATGAACCCAGCGGAGGTGGGGATCTCGGCGCGGCCTCCCCAAAACAACAGGCCCTCCCGGCAAAGGGTGAGTTAAGGGGGCGGACCCGGAGGGAAGCCACGTGCCGAGACAGAAGACTATTGGCTCTCCCGGAGTTGTTTGTGAGTGGCCATTGGCGACGTCGAGGCGCCGCGACGAGCCGATTGGCTGGGTCTTGGAGTGCCCGCCAGGACAAGGGTAGGGAGGAGGCGGCCGAACCGCGCTGCTGGGCCGGGCCGGGCCGAACGGAGCGCAGACGCAGCCCGCGCGGGGACCACAACCCGAGCCCTTGCCGCGGCCGCCGCAGCCATGCGCTGGGTCTGCGCGCTGCTGAAGAATGCGTCTCTGGCAGGGGCGCCCAAGTACATCGAGCACTTCAGCAAGTTCTCCCCGTCCCCGCTGTCCATGAAGCAGTTTCTGGACTTCGGTACGGCGTGGGCGGGAGGCGGCGGGCAGCGGAGCCCCCCGGGGCGCTGGGAGGGGCAGTCGGGGGCTAGGGGGACGGAGAAGAAGGGAGCCCTCGAGTGACAGAGAAGGGTTGTTTGGAAGGGTACAGGCAGGAAAGCGTTAACGGGGAAGCAGGGACTGGCCGAGACCTCTCGACTGGGCTGTTGATGGGAATGGGGGGCACTCTCAACTTGGGTCCCGAGGTTTCTTCCTGGGCTTCATGAGGGGTCTTGAAGAGTAAGGGGCAGTAAAGCTGTGATGTTACTGCAGGAAGGGAGTAGGGTGTTATCCAGACGCGGAAGGGTTAATGGGAGTTGTCCTTGATGACTGGAGGGGTAGGGGCCCCTCCTCCCACCAGAGGAAACCCGGGGTCTGCCATTGGGAGTGTGGAGGCAGAGTTCAGAGGTGCAGCCATCTGTAAAGAGACCTGAACTGGGCATGAAGGGTCAGGCACCCCTGGGCAGAGGGTGAGATAAAGCCAGGGGCAGTTGGGGAAGGGGGCTCTTTCAGAAGAAGATGCCAGTGAGAGAGAGTGCCCTGACTGGTAGACATCCACACGGAAGGAGCTGGACCCAGCTGCCCCAGTGGACAAGGACACTTGAAGATCAAATCTGTTCCGGCCTGGCAGTCTGTCCCCATTCGGACAAGGGCCCCACACACCGTGACGTGGATTCAAGCCACCTGTACCTCCCTTGGCTGCCCCAGGGCTGCTAGGTCAGGATCGCCCACCACCAGCATTCTGGGGGTGGCCCTGGGGCAAGAGGGAGGCTGTGCCAACCTGGCGGCTGAAATGGGCAATGTGTGGGCCCTGTGTGTCTACGCGGTATTTCCATGGTGCCAGCTGGGGACTGAGGATTGGGGGGGAAGTCTCTAAAGAGTTGAGTCGATAGTGCCTGGCTTGGATTGCAGCTGCGTCAGGGAGAGCAGAGAGGTGGAGCTGAGACATAGGGCACCTGTTCCTCAGGATTCGTCTGCCTGCACCCCTGCCCTGTCTGAGTCTTGAGCCTCCCCCATGTAGGAAAGCCTCTTGGGCCCACTCCTAGCTCCCAACAGCTGTCCCCACAAAGTGCACCCTAATTACAGAAACGTCACAGCTGTGGGGGGCTTACAGTAGAGTTTGGTCAACTTGTAGTACCATGGGGGAAACGGAGACCTTCAAAATGATGATGACATGCCCTGGGTGACAGTCAGAAGCAGAGCCTGGATGGACTGGAACCCTGGTCCCCTGACCCTGGGCCAAGGCCTTATTCTGTCCCTCACCCTCTCCATCTGGATGCCAGACAAGGGCCGAGGCATTTGGACTCCTGTTCTCGGGCCCCATTTGCCTCACAGATGGGCATTAAGACAAAGTGGCCCCACGTGGGCATTCAGACCAGGCTGGGTGAGGTGGGCTGGCCAGAGACAATGTTGGGACCCTGCCGTGGTAGTCCTGCCATAGCTCCCTCAGCCAGAACCCAGCTCTAGGTAGGGATAGGTTTCCCAGGCTCCTCTGCCCACTGGGGTCAGCCCCCAAAGTGAGGGAGGAGAGGAAAGAGAAGTGAGGTGACTGAGGCCAGAGGCAGCTCCTAATGGGCCCAGGAGTGGCCTTGTCCACTGTGGTTAAGGCAAGCAGGGTTCAGCTGGGGGTCAGGAGAACATGCGACCCCTTGCAGTGTCAGGCAGGGGGTTTAGGTGTTTGAGCCCTGCTGTGTGCCTGTGGGCAGGTCACTTCCTCTCTGAACCCCTAGTAATGAAGGGTGTAGCTGAGCTGGCCGAGACATCCTTTGGCTTTCGTGGCTTGTGGCTCTGTGGCTCACCCCTCTTTCTCCTGCCAGGATCCAGCAATGCCTGTGAGAAAACCTCCTTCACCTTCCTCAGGCAGGAGTTGCCTGTGCGCCTGGCTAACATCATGAAAGAGATCAACCTGCTTCCCGACCGGGTGCTCAGCACACCCTCTGTGCAGCTGGTGCAGAGCTGGTGAGACCCCTGCTCAGTCCCTGCACCTCCCTCTCCATCACCAATGTCCCTGGGCTTGGGGGTAGAATCTCCAAGCTTCTGGCAGCCTTGAGGGTGGGGTGGGGACAGGCAGGAGACACCGAAGCCCCAGGAGGTTTGGAGTTGCTTAGGGTCCCATGGGAATCCGAGGCCACAGCAGGGACTGAGGTCAAGCTCCTAGTCTCCTCTGTGTCTAGCCCTCTTCTTACCACCCTTCTTTCTCTGGCAACCCAGGATCCACCTGGGAAAAAAGCATGGTTTTCACAGCCAAAACCCCAAGTCAGGCTGATGTCAGCATTAGCCACCAGCCCAGTCCTGGAACTCCAGCAGCTGCTAGGGAATATTTATTTGGGATAACTTTTTGGGAAACAGAAACAAGAAGCAAGTTTTCAAATAAATTATATAACCCAAGCTGTGAGACAGACTGTTTTGGATGTTGGAAAATACTCAAGATACACACAGGATGGCACAGTACCTTCCCGAAGAGCTTTGGAGGGGCAAAGACCAAAAGTTTATTGCGCATTGCAGCTGGAACAGAGGGAAAGGCTCACCAGAGTTCACTCAAAAACTCAAGTTAAGTAACTGGATAATATTAGCCAAAGGCCAGTCACATGAAAAATAAACAAGGGTGTCCCCTGTCACTGGGCATGTAAGTGGCTAATCCTCACTGACTTTGGTAGCACCTGTATGGAAATTTTCTGCTAGTTCTTCTGGACTTGCAGTATGATATGGCTGAGGTTTCCTTGGAGACTCAGAAGCAGGTGCCCACATGTACTCTGGGCCCAAAGCCATGGGAAATCACAGCACCTGCCCTCAGGGAGCATGTGATCTTGAAGGGCTCGCCTAGGCAGGGTGAACTGAGCACAGCATAGTACTAGAAGCAGGGAGCTGCCCAAGAATTGTTTTATTTAAATTAAGAATCCAAACTGGTTTTTTTTTTTTTTTTTGAGACGAAGTGTCGCTCTGTCGCCAGGCGGGAGTGCAGTGGCACAATCTCGGCTCACTGCAACCTCTACCTCCTGGGTTCAAATAATTCTCCTGCCTCAGCCTCCTGGGTAGCTGGGACTACAGGCACGCACCACCATGCCCAGCTGATTTTTGTATTTTAGTAGAGATGGGGTTTCACCATGTTGGTCAAGGATCATTTCGATCTCTTGACCTCGTGATCTGCTCTCCTCAGCCTCCCAAAGTGCTGGGATTACAGGTGTGAGCCACTGTTCCTGGCCCCAAACATTATTTTAAAAGAACATTGGGTATTTTTCTTCCCTCATTGTGGGAGTATAACAGGTTCATTTGACACTTGGAAAACGCAAAATAGTAGACAGAAGAAAATGCCAACCACTGCCCTCCACCCCTAACCGAACCCAGTTCAGGTTTTATCAGATGTGTTGGTGCCTTTCCAGCATTGCCTTCTTTGCAGAGAACTGTGTATATGGAGCGTATTCTAATTAAATGAGGTACGGTGAGGGGCAGTGTTGTACACACAGGGCCAGGGGTGTACTGGGTACACAATGAATGGTGGTTGAATGACAAGTTGTGGGCCGTTGCCATGGACTTGCAGAGGACGTGACTTGTCACTGGATTTTACAGGGTACCAAGGCAAGCTCAGAACTAGAAGGAAGGGAAGTGCATTCAAGGCTAAAGGAATACTTGGGCAAAGGTGTGGAGACAGGAAGGGACCTGACTAGGGTGGCTGAGAACTTACTTTCTGGAGATTGTGCTGTGAGTGTGGGTTGTGAAAAGGGGTGGAGGAGTGAGTCACAGAGCCCGATATTCATGTAGCCCAACCAGGTCACCCCTTCCTGTGCCCAGCCTCTCAGAGGTCCAGGACCTCTGAGCCAACCAACACTTCTTACCGTGGGTGGTGTGGAGTGGTGGGAAGGAGACAGAAGGCGCCATCTGTTCTCCCTGGCCCTCCTCCGGCTCTTTCCGGCCGCCTGACCTGGCTGCCTCTCCACCTGCTCCCTGACTCCAGGACAGGACTTCTCAGACACCTCCCTGGACACCGTGTTCCTGGGAGAGCTGAGGGATGCAGCAAGAGGGCACAGGGCTACTGAGCTTCCCATGACTCTCACAGGGGTCCCTGCAGAGTCCCTTCCTGAAAATCAGTGACACAGATAAGGGGTTGGCCTGACTTATTCTTCCACAAAGCTTGCAAGTAATGTCAAGTACCAGTGGGAGGGAATGAAGTTAGACAAGAGAGATCACTTCCTCAATGAAAGATTCAGGTTAGAGGAGAGCAGGCCACGGGATTGCTAAAGCATCCCAACACCCTGAAGAGATGGCCTGCCAAGAATGTTTCCAGAGGGAATGGGTATTGGCTGCAGCAAGAGAAACTGAAGTGTGAGGACAAGAAGGACTTCCCAACTGGATTGAGGTGGCTGCCTGTGAGAGAGTGGAGATCTCTTTCTCCAGGAGAAACAGCCTGCCAGCTGGAATGATGGAGGTGGTAGAGGTGGGCAGGATTTAGGTGCATGAGAGGAGGGAGAGATGTTACCAGGGAGCTTGGCAAGAGGGCTTTTAGCCTGAGTCTGATGAGTAAGGAGCAAACCCTCCTTTCTGGAAAACACAAGAGCCCTGGGCAGAAGCAGTTACTAGCAGTCATGGTTCATATGTGGTCATAGAAATGGAGTTTCTACTCAGCTAGGGAGAGGTTGTAGGCAGAGTCACTGTGGGCAAGCTGAGACTGCCTGGTTATAAATAAACCTGATGCATTATTTCACCTGGACAGACTTGCGATGGAGGGCCCTGTTTTGGTGGAGACTGGCCTTGGAGGGAAAGCCCCCGGTTTGGCCTCAGCATGAGTGACTTTGAAGCTTCATCCTGGGCAAGCCACGTGGCATCTCTGAGCCTCAGCTTCCTCATCTGTAAAACGGGGACCCATTGTGTTTGTAAGGGTCAAGCAAGGGCCAGTGCTAGATGTGAAAAGCATGCAGAACTCTACTAACACAAGCCATGTCCCCAAGCCATGTCCCCAGGCCATGTTCCCAAGCTGCGGGCCAGCAGCACCTCCAGCCCACAGATGATGTCATTGTGGTGTGGTTTCTTAGGCAAGGTAGTAATAAATCATGATGGTGATAAAAGCAAACACCCCCAAAGGCTTGCTGTGTCCCAGAAGCTGTCCTGAGCATCTCTGCGCATTAACTCATTCAATCTTTACAACCTTATGAGGTAGTCCTTGCTATCACTCCCATTTTCTAGATGAAAAATTGAGGTTCAGAGAGGTAAAGAAACTTGTCTGAGACCACTCAGGAAGTAGGTGGTGGAGTTGGAATTGGAACCCACCTGTTGGCTTTGGAGACTGGATTCTTGAAGGGAAAGGAGGGAGCCTGCACCCTGGGTAGCCATGTGGAGTCAGAGGTTTAAGTTCACGGTGCAAGTCTGTGGGAGAGCAGAACTCACTTTACAAAATTGTGGACAGCCAGTGTTGTTGTGGACAGAAAGGGACAACCTGGGCTCCTCTCAAAAACACAGGATTAAGCAGGAGCCTCAGAGTAGAATCAGATGACAGTGAGTCACAGTGTCACTAACAGGGTCTTTGTGGGGGCTGCAGGTGGGAGGTGAATGGCCGCACTTTCCCACAAACCTCCCTCGCCTGTCAGCAAGGTATGCGGACCCCAAGCCCTGCCTGTGGGAAATCCTCACCCCCAACCTGTGAGCCAGTCCGTGCCCTTGAGAAGAATAGCAACCACAGAGGGTGTGGCTTGGGTGCTCAGGACCTGCGATGACTCAGTCAGCCGCTCCTTGCATGACCGGTGCAGAACTGAGCACTTACTGCACATGTGCTCGAGGGACCCTCTCCTTTGCTGTGCACCCAGGCCCACAAGGTGCTTACTCCTGTGAACCCCATTTGCAGATGGGGACTTGAGGGACTCGGTGGCCTCTTTAGGGTACAATCAGCAGCAGAGCCCAAGCCTGCCTGGCTCAGAGACTTCGGATGCAGGACACCATCCCCTCTCCGCCAGTTGCAGCAAGCACCCCTCCTCCCCAGCCTTTGCCTTGTTCACACCCTGCTCCCCAGCAGCTGTGGATACCAGCGCATGGTGCACACACACCCACAGGCCTGCACATGCCACATGCACACTTACACACACAGCCCCTGCTGGCTCGGCACCCACTCTGCTCCCACACAGCCCTGCAGGGCCCTCCTCCCACACTCGCTTACCCTCTCCTCCCATTCCCTCTGCCCATTCTCAACCCCACACTCTGAGCAAGCCCCCTCACTTCTGCCTGCCTCCTCGCTTCCTCCCTCCCAAGCCTGGGCTCTGGACTGGCTCCGGAGCCCTGGAAAGCAGGGTTTGGGTGGACTTCCACGTTACCTTGGGCTGGGCTTGGGAGCTCCAGATCTCATCAAGGGAGTCCTGGGGCCTTGATTACTGCAGAGATCAGCACGCCCAGAGATGCCAGCCTCCCCCCAGTTCACTGGGAGGAGTGGGGCAATGCCTGTCCCACCCCTCGGTGCCTGCCTGCCATTGCTCCACTACTTACAGCCTCCCTTCTAAGCCCAGTTCTCTCTCTGGCCTGCAAGGGGTGGGCAGCCCAGAGGCAGTGCCACTCGGCTCCAATCTCTCTTCTTAGGACCAACAACTGACCCAAGGGTGACATTTGGTGCCGGAACCCTGAGGGGCTTCAGGGCAAGGCCAGGGCCCTCTGGGAAAATCCTCCTCCTCTCCCCTCCATTCCAAGTGTACCCTGGGCCCCTGCCCTGGAGGAACCCTAACCCTGTGAGGAAGGCTGGCAGGCACTGCCCACAGTCACTCCATGCCGGTACCCTTTGCTCCACTTCAGTGGCCACGTGACCAGGCCCCACTTCTGCCCTCTAGGGTTGTTGAGCAGCCGCAAAAGGGGTGTTGCCAGCCGCTGGGGCACTCTCCCTACTTGAGACTGGGACTTTGACCCTGCCCACCCCTACCCAGCATAGTCAGGAAGTGGCTGAGCATCCCAGCTCCCACCCACTCCATCCTCACCTGTCCACTGGGTCTTGGAAAGGGGTCCCAGGCCCTACTCTGCAGTGGGTCTCCTTCCCTTCCTCTCCCCACCTGCTGCAGCCCTGCCTGCTTACAGGCTTTCTCTCCTCTAAGAACTGGATAAGCATGAAGGTCTATCCTGGGTCTGTTTAGGGAGCAAGGGATTTGGAGCCACATAGGCTTGGGAGAGAGAATCTCAGCTCTGCGTGTTAACGTCCTCATCTGTAAAATGGGTCCACCAGTAGCACCCACTCGTAGAGTTCTTGTGGAGGTAAAAGTGATGCAGGAGGGAGGCACAGGGTGGAGCCCTGGCCATTGGTACCCAGTAAATGCCACCATCAGCAGCGGCATCACTGTCAGGGCCAGTGTCGGTGGTTTTCCACATGATATAGACTTGAAGTCTGAGAGAAATGGGTTTGAATCCTCGCCTGCTGCTGACTCTGTGGCCTGGGGCATATCACCTGTCCTCTCAGTGCTGATCTCGTTGTCTGCAAAAAGAGGGAGATACCTTATGTTTATCAAGGCTGTTGGCAGATGAGAGACGCTGTGCGGGAGTTGGCACAGGTGAGCGTTAGTGGTCAATACGTTATTCTCCAGGGAGACAGGTGAGGTCTCAGGAGTGCTACCCTGTTGTCTGCTGGGGCAGCAGGGAGAGCGATGGGATCTGAGAGGAAGGCCGATTTTTTCTGCTGTCTGGGCCCCCAGCCCAGTCGGCAGCCACAGCCCCTCCTATCTGGCTCTGTGCAGAGCCCTGGGGTAGGGAGGGTGGTGGGAGGCTCTGGGCCTGAGCAGAATCCCCATTCCTGTGGGAGGGGGCAGTTCCCCAGGGCACAGGGGACACAAACATGCTGTGGTTCAGAGCCTACAAGCAGTGGGCGAGTGTCAGATGCCACCTGGCGGCTCAGAGGATGCACTCAGCTGTTAATGATGTTTGAGCCACCAGCTATAATAAGAGCAAGCATTTAGAGAGAGCTCGCTACCTGCTAGGCACTGTGCTGATCATCACATGGAATCTTGCCACAGAGCAGTAATAGGTAAGTATAACACTCCCCATTTTACCCAATGAGCAAACTCGGGTGCAGAGAGGTTCCGCGACTTACCCAGGGCCACACAGCTCCAAGTCCTTGAAGAGCCAGATCTGGATCCAGAGCTCATTCTTTCACTTTCTCTGTCAGGCAAAAGAGGGAAGAGCAGCTTCACTAGGTGTAAGGGGAAGGGCATTCCTGGCAGAGGGCACTGTGAACAGAAGCGTGGAGGTGAGAGTCAAGCAGAATCAACACCCTGGAGTGGCAAGAGCTCTGGAGACTCGGAGGGCTTCATCATCCCACTTACCAGCTGTGGAGCTGTTCTCGCCTCCCTGGGGAGGCTGTGCGTGTGGCGGATTCCTGCCTGTCGTACCTGTTACAGGTTACAGCGAAGATCAGAGTACTGTGGACGTGGGAATGAGTCCTTGTGTGGTGGGGCTTTTTCTAAAAACACTGTTGGGCCCCAGGGCCCTTACCACTGCCAGGCTCTAGGCAGCCCCCACTGCCTCCTGGTTATAAGTGTTTCTGCCAGAGAGAGGCTCAGCTCTTCCTGCCTTCCCCAGAGGAACAAGCCACAGACTGGGCATGTTAGCAGGGAAACAGGTCATGCCTCCCCAGGGTGTGGGGCACAGTAGCTCCAGCTTGGTACCATCTGCCACCACAGGTGGGCCTTTCTTGCAGAAGCTGGCCTGCTCCTGTCCCTGAGTTCAGGGCTGCTGCTGCTTTTTTTTTTTTTTTTTTTTGAGACAGTCTGGCTCTGTCCCTAGGCTGGAGTGCAGTAGAGCGATCTCAGCTCACTGCAACCTTTGCCTCCGGAGTTCAAGCGATTCTCCTGCCTCAGCCTCCAGAGTAGCTGGGATTACAGGTGTGCACCATCACACCCGACTAATTTTTGTATTTTTATTAGAGACAGAGTTCCACCATATTGACCAGGCTGGTCTTGAACTCTTGACCTTAGGTGATCCACCCGCCTTGGCCTCCCAAAGTGCTGGGATTACAGGCGTGAACCACCATGCCCAGCCAAGTTCAGGGCTTCTTGATGCTCCTATTAGAGCATCAAGCTCTTCTCGAAGTCCAGGGAAAACTGGCCTCCCCACCAGGCCTGTGGATGGGAGGGGGGCGGGGGGGCACCCACTCCTACCTGGCCTTTCGGAGTGCAGTGAGCATCTCTGGACTCTCCATGGGCCCCAGCCCCACCTGAGGACAGAGCCAGGCATGCCCACCTCACTTTGGGTCCTTCCCACCTGCCATTTTAGAATATAATTGCCTATGCAGGTGCCTGGCCCAGACCACCCCAGCTTGGGAGTCACTCTGGGAGACCCTGTCCCCTCTGTCGGGGTCACTCTGGGAGGCCCTGTGCTGTCCCCTCTGTCGGGGTCACTCTGGGAGGCCCTGTGCTGGCCCCTCTGTCGGGGTCACTCTGGGAGGCCCTGTGCTGGCCCCTCTGTCGGGGTCACTCTGGGAGGCCCTGTGCTGGCCCCTCTGTCGGGGTCACTCTGGGAGGCCCTGTGCTGTCCCCTCTGTCGGGGTCACTCTGGGAGGCCCTGTGCTGGCCCCTCTGTCGGGGTCACTCTGGGAGGCCCTGTGCTGGCCTCTCTGTCGGGGTCACTCTGGGAGGCCCTGTGCTGGCCTCTCTGTCGGGGTCACTCTGAGAGGCCCTGTGCTGGCTTCTCTGTCGGGGTCACTCTGGGAGGCCCTGTGCTGGCCTCTCTGTCGGGGTCACTCTGGGAGGCCCTGTGCTGGCCTCTCTGTTGGGGTCACTCTGGGAAGTGCTGTGCTGGCCCCTCTGGCAGTTGTGCCCTACCGGTTGCAACAGCACCCTTGGGGAAGAAACATCAGCTGTTTCCACGCTGGGGCTCAGAAAAGTTCATACACCTCCCTGCCTTCTCCCACCGCGGGCACTAGGTCCAGTCTCCCCACCCCCCGTTTCAGCCTCCGTCTCCTGATCTGTGAGGCCTCTTGGATGGGAGCATCTCCAAGCCCCTTCCAAGAGGACTATTCTAGGATTCCAAAGCAAAGGTGCTAAACGGGGGACCAGCAATTTGAGTTTTCCTTGCATAACTGACTGGGTTGTCAGGGAGACTTATATACAAATGAAATGGGTGGAGAAAAATAGTGAGGCGGCTTGTCGGCAACTGTGTGGGGCCCGCGTGGGAGCAGGACAAGATCGAGGCCCAGCCGAAGTGGGTGGGGAGGGTCTGGCCACCTGAGCTGAGGCTGTGTCCCTCCCACCCCCCACACAGGTATGTCCAGAGCCTCCTGGACATCATGGAGTTCCTGGACAAGGACCCTGAGGACCATCGCACCCTGAATCAGTAAGTGGGGGCCATGGGTGGGGCAAGAAGGCAGGTGTCTGCCAGGGGCATCTGGGGTTGCAGCCCCTGGGTTAGGAGTACAGCAGGATGGAAGAAAAGACCCCTGCCTTCAGGAACATCCAGTCTGAGGGGGGAGACAGACTGCTTCAGGGAGCCCCAAGTTTGATGGGAGAGACGTGGGCTTTATTCTCACTGTTCCCTAAGCCCGGTGGGCAAGACCCAGGCCCTGCCCTGGGGAGGATGAGAACTCTGGCCTTTCAAGTGGGAAGCCTGCCAGGCAGGCAGCTAGGAGATCAGAGTGGGCTTTGGGAGGAGCAGGGAGGGTATCGATAGTCCATGGGATTGGAAAGGGTAGAGAGGGTGAGGACACCATGGAGAGGGGCATCAGAAGTGGGGGAGAGTCTGGGGGTGTCCCCATGTGAACACCTGCCCTGCCTTACAGGTTCACGGACGCCCTGGTCACCATCCGGAACCGGCACAATGACGTGGTACCCACCATGGCACAAGGTGTGCTTGAGTACAAGGACACTTACGGCGATGACCCCGTCTCCAACCAGAACATCCAGTACTTCCTGGACCGCTTCTACCTCAGCCGTATCTCCATCCGCATGCTCATCAACCAGCACAGTGGGTGCTGGCTGCAGGGGGGTGTGGCGGTGTGGGGGGTACAGGGGGTGTGTGGGGGCTGAGGGGGGTGTGGGGACTGAGGGGGGGTGTGGGGGCTGCAGGGGGTACAGGGGTTCAGGGGGTGCAGGGGTTCGGGGGGTGCAGGGGCTGCAGGGGGGGTGCAGGGGGTGTGGGGGCTGCAGGGGGGTGAGGGGGTGTGGGGGCTGCAGGGGGTGCAGGTGGGGTGCAGGGGCTGCGGGGGGGTGCGGGGGCTGCGGTGGGGGCATGGGGGGTGCAGGGGGTGTGGGGGTGCATAGTGCTGGGCCCCATGGCCGGGCTGTTGAGGGGACCTAGGCTGCTATTCAGAACCCCACAAAAGGAGTCTTTGAATAGTTACTCAAGTAACTTTGGAGTTACTGGCTCCAAAATGGAAAAATAGAATGTTTCTTTTTCACTCATTTCCATTTCAAAAACATTTTTGTTTTTAATGTTTGCAAAATGTGAAGTTATGTCACATCTTTTAAAAAATGTTTAATTTAGTTTTCATAAACACTCTCGTTACGTTCAAAAACGGTTTAGAGTGTCTTATTCCAGGAAGATTCACTGATTGTTGAGAAGTCGTAGCCAGTCGTAAATTAAACAAGCTCCTCATGCTCAAATAATTTTGAAAGGAAGGTGGTAGGAGTTATCTTATAATGTTATAGGCAAAGAAAAGAATAAATCTAATGTGGAGATGTGATGTGGGGAGAGGCCTCTGAAAACATGTATGTTTCAGGCTTGCAAGAGTCCAAGCAAAGGTTTAGAAACAGCCTGACCCGGGGTGGAGGGGTCAGGGCCCAGGGAAGAGAGAAGCAGGTGAGTGAGGCAGCTTTAGGACTGGAGCCTACAGAGGCATCCCAGGTGGAAGTAGAGAGAGGAGGAGAGCCCCAGGGAAGAGGGAGCGCTGGGGCAGGCTGCCACCCAGCCAATAGCACCCTCTTTTCCCGCTTGCAGCCCTCATCTTTGATGGCAGCACCAACCCAGCCCACCCCAAACACATCGGCAGCATCGACCCCAACTGCAACGTCTCTGAGGTAATCAAAGGTGAGCCATTCCCATGGTGCCTGGCCCGCAGAGGAGCCCCAGGGACCCCTCCAAGTTTATCTGACCAGAGGGTGACTTGTTCCTCAGTGAGGGGTGCCAGGGTTTAGTGCTAGTGGTGCCCAGTGTCATTGTCAAGAGGACTGCCTGCTGGGTAGGCCACTCATGCCCTGAATGGCCCCATCTTCTCTCAGATGCCTATGACATGGCTAAGCTCCTGTGTGACAAGTATTACATGGCCTCACCTAACCTGGAGATCGAGGAGCTCAATGGTGAGTGACCTGGGCTGTGTGTGTGTGTCTGTCTGGGGGCTGGGGGGATGGCAGGGCAAGGTGAGATGGGGAGTCAGGAGATGACGGTTTTCTAGACTGGGGAGAAGCAGAGTTTTGATTATATTATTAATTCATTTGATAAATATTTGGGCTGGGCACAGTGGCTCACCCCTGTAATTTCAGCACTTTGGGAGGACAAGGCAGGCCAGTCACTTGAGGTCAGGAGTTCGAGACCAGCCTGGCAAACGTGTTGAAACCCTGTCTCTACTAAAAATACAAAAATTAGCTGGTTATGATGGCACGTGCCTATAATCCCAGCTACTTGGGAGGCTGAGACAGGAGAATCACTTGAACCCAGGAAGCTGAGGCTGCATGAGATCATACCACTGCACTCTAGCCTGGGTGACAGAGTGAGACTTCATCTTAAAAAAAAATGAATGAATGAATGAGTAAACAGTAAACAAGGTTCCCGTTCTCATGGAGCTTACATTTTTGGTGCTAGGGAGATTGGGGAATGGAGCCTTTAGCCAATTAACAAGTAAATAAACAAGACCATTTCAGATCATGACAGTGACAGGAAGGAAATAAAATGGGGTAACTCAGCAGGGATGGGGGAGGGGCATATCAGCTTGGCTGCTTTCCTAGAACCCCAATACCAGTGGCTTACTTAAGAGGGAGGTTTCTGGCCAGGCACGGTGGCTCATGCCTGTAATCCCAGCACTTTCGGAGGCCAAGGTGGGTGGATCACGAGGTCAGGAGTTCAAGATTAGCCTGGCCAACTCGGTGAAACCCTCTCTCTAATAAAAATAGAAAAATTAGCCAGGCATGGTGGTATGTGCCTGTCATCCCAGCTACCTGGGAGGCCGAGGCAGAAGAATCGCTTGAACCTGGGAGGTAGAGGTCACAGTGAGCCGAGATCATGCCACTGTACTCCAGCCTGGGTGACAGAGCGAGACTCCATCTCAAAGAAAAAAAAAAAAAAAGGAAGGTTTTCCTCTTGCCAGCCTCTGGCTGGGGAGGTCAGGGCTGGCTCCCTACCCCCGTCTCAGTTCTAGCCTGAAGGAAGTGAACAAGGGTATGGAAAGCAGGGCCCAAAATTAGCTGGGCATGGTGGCGGGTGCCTGTAATCCCAGCTACTCCGAAGGCTGAGGCAGGAGAATAGCTTGAACCTCGGAGGCGGAGGTTGCAGTGAGCTGAGATCACACCACTGCACTCCAGCCTGGGCAAAAAGAGTGAAACTCTGTCTCAAAAAAAAAAAAAAAAAATGTTAAACACATCACTTCTATGAGTCACCAGCTACCCCAGCTCCAGGGAGGCCTGGGGATTTAGTCTCTCACTGGACAGCCATGTACCCAGTTAGAACTCTGGGGGAGGGTGTGCCTCGTTTGGGTAAGGTGGTTGAGTGGGGACCTCCTGACAGTTTCCTGCCCCTCAGCCTTGACTTTCCCTGCAGCAGCCAACTCCAAACAGCCGATTCACATGGTCTACGTCCCCTCTCACCTCTACCACATGCTCTTTGAGCTCTTCAAGGTGAGGAGGCTGGGAGCCACGCTTGGCGGGGAGCGTGGGTTTGGCTGGCTCCGCCCATGCATCTCTTACCTCTGCTCCTCCACAGAATGCTATGCGGGCGACTGTGGAAAGCCATGAGTCCAGCCTTGTTCTCCCACCCATCAAGGTCATGGTGGCCTTGGGCGAGGAAGATCTGTCCATCAAGGTATGTGGCCCTGGACCTTGGGGACCAGGGAGCAGTAGTGGGGGCTTCCCTCCTGCCAAGAGACAGGCTCTCCTTCTCTCCTACGTGGTGGGCAGATCCTGGGGGCGGGGAAAACCATGAGAAGGTCACGGGTATTGGGCAGGGTGGGGAAACTGAGCTGTAGAGAATCTCTGACACGCCCCATCTCTCCCAGATGAGTGACCGAGGTGGGGGTGTTCCCTTGAGGAAGATCGAGCGACTCTTCAGCTATATGTACTCCACAGCACCCACCCCCCAGCCTGGCACTGGGGGGACCCCGTTGGTGAGATGGCTGTACCCCAACCCCTCCCACCTCCTGAGAGGCCTCACTCACTTCCTTATCTCCAGGCTCACTCAGCCCCAGTGTGGCCGTTTGTGACAGTCACCTGTCTTGAGTCTGGGCCCCACGCCTCCCGCATCTCCCGTCTGCACACATCTCACCTGTCGGATGTCTCTCTATCACCTTTCCCCACTCTTCCCTCTCCCCTGTAGCCCCAACCCCCAATTTCTACCTTTCTCTTGGTGTTGTCCAACTTGTCAGCACCCCCTGCTAGAGAACTTGAGACTCTAAGGAGCTGTTGGGCCTGCACCAACCTCCTGGCCCCGGAGTGGAACTCCTCTCCCTGCTGAAGCCTCCTTCCTGCATTCAAGATTCCCTCATTCATCCCACACCCATTTCTTACCTCAGTGTCCCCTCCTGCATGTCCTCTCTCTTCTCCAGCTCTGAGACTCCCCCCACCCACCCACTATGTGCCCCAGCCCCACACCCTTCCCTCCCTGCATCAGTCCCTGAAGCTCCAGGAGGCCCCTGCCAGCCTCCTCATCCTCTCTGCTTTCCTGCCCCACTGCAGGCTGGCTTTGGCTACGGGCTCCCCATTTCCCGCCTCTACGCCAAGTATTTCCAGGGAGACCTGCAGCTCTTCTCCATGGAAGGCTTTGGGACCGACGCTGTCATCTATCTCAAGGTGAGGGCCCGGCCTGTAGAGCCCAGCTGGAGAAGAGGTTTGCTGATAGGAACTGGGCAGGCTTGGCCGGCTGTGAGCTTTCCTCCCCATCCTTCCGGTCCTTTCCCAGCCGCAGACCCTGGGATTCCAAGCAAAGCTACAGTCCCTCAACCCCCAGACACACACAGCTTTAGGGGAGTCTGTGGTCCATGATTAAGACCCCTGTGCTGGGGACCCTCAACTTGTTAGACCCAGAAGGAAGGGGACACCCTAGGTCTTGTCATTCAGCTCAGAGGAGAAGACTGAGGCCCAGAGTCGGTGACTTTCTCAGGGTCACACAGCCCAGCCTCCTCCCCTTCTCCCTCCCTTCGAGGGAGCTGCTTTCTGGAATGTGCAGGGGTGGGACACAGGAGGGACCACCTTTCATGGATCTTTCCAGGCCCCCAGGTCTGGCAACTGGGCTGCTGCTGAGCTGGGGGCGGGGAGGGTGGTCTGCTGGGGAGGGGGCTGACCCTGGCAATCCCCAGGCCCTGTCCACCGACTCAGTGGAGCGCCTGCCCGTCTACAACAAGTCAGCCTGGCGCCACTACCAGACCATCCAGGAGGCCGGTGACTGGTGTGTGCCCAGCACCGAACCTAAGAACACATCCACATACCGCGTCAGCTAAGGGCCACGTGCATCTGCACCTGAGAGGATGGACCAGCCACCGTGGTGCCCCTCCCCATCTTCCTGGGGTAGCAGGGGGTGGGTTCTCCCTGATGACCAGGCTCTGTCTCTATGGAAGTCACTGTGGTGATATCTGTGATGGTCCCTAAGTGCCAGTCCATCTCCGTGGAGACCCCTCAGTGGCTTCCCCATCTCTGTGGGTGATGCCTGAGGGTTGGGGATGTCTCCACCCTGATGGGGTATCCCAGAGACATTTTCCCATGGCAGTCCTCCTCTCTGAGGTCAGGGCTGTCACTTTCTGCCAGGGGTCCACACCCTCTGCAGCCCAGGCCTTCCAAGTGGATGCCCTGTTGGCCTTACTCCCCCAGCCCACAGAGGCACCGTGGCCTTGGCCTGTTGAAGTGTTAGGAAGAGGCAGGGTGCCCTCCAGACCTGGGGACTGAGTGGGGAATGAGGCTTGTCCTGCAGCCTCTCACTCCACTTGGGGCTTTAAGGTCAAGGTTGGTGGGGGAGGGGTGGTTCTAACAGGGTCCACCCCTAAAGTGGACGGACCTTGTTAGACCCAGAGGTTGCCACCCAGAAGTTGCTCGAGGCCCTGCAGCGGCCTTGGCAATGTTTGTGCCACCTCCCAAGCCCTCCCAGCATGTCCTCACATCCTCCTGCCCACCCACCCTCCGAAAGCCCAGTCCGTCCTGCCTGAGCCCTAGCCGCCAGCCCCCACTGTGCCCAGACACATGTGCTCAGGGTGGCTTTCTCCCTAGGACCTCTGTGTGTATAGCTAGTTTTATAACCCTGAATGCCCCCACCCTTCCCCTTAGCACACGGGGGTTAAAGCTGTGTGTTATGTCCCTCCCAGTGGCTGTGGCAGTGACACCCACACCCCCAGTAAAGAGGAAACTGACTAAGACTGGCCTGGCTACATCCCTGGGGGAGAGGGCCCCACACATGCACACACACACACACACACATGCACTGCAGTGCCCTGTGACCATGACACAATGCACTTGGGATGTCCGGCTCAGCTCAGGACCGTGAGTAAAACACTGGGCAAAGCCATCCATTCAGAACGCCGGATGGTCCAGCACCTGGTGACAGACCTGTTGTCTCACCACACTCAGGGCCTAGCAGTCAGGCCAACCCAACAACTGGAGCAGATAGAAATTCTGGTCACTGGCACATCATAAGTATTTATTGAAGTAAATTGAGAACTGCCTCCCCTTCACATGCAGGTGGGCACCCACTATAGCTGCTGATGGCTTTAAGGACGTGGGTGCCTCCCAACCTCCCATGGCCCCGCCACCAGGCCCAGATGGTGCCAGTGTCCTCGTATCTGTTTCCCTCTGAAGCCCCTCTCCCAGCACAGATCGCAGAGTGGGGATAAGGGCTGAGTCCCAGGTACAGGGCGCTGGCTGTCAGCCTCGGCCCCTGGCAGGAATGAGGGAGCCAGCATGCATTGGTGCCATCTGCTGCTCTGGGCAGATGGGAGGAGCTGGAGGGGGTTCTAACCAGGAGCCCCCTGGCCCCACCGGTAACTCTGACGAGTGTCCTGGAAGCAGGGCTAGCTGCTGACCAGCGCCACACATGGACACTTCCTCCAAGGACATTTCCTAAAAAGGACACATGCTGTCCCCAGCCTGCTGGTAGACTCCACCCCCATCCAGGGAGCTGGCCCCAGCCCTCAGTGTGACCCAGCGAAGCAGAGCTTACATCGCCTGCTGGTTCTGAGCCCACTGATGCCCTGACAATGCCGGGGGCAGATAGGGGAGGGCTGATGAACCTTTCCAATCTGGCAGCTGCCAGGGACCCCCAGGTTTTGCCTCTCTGCCTGGCTGGGGTGAGGGTTGACCAGGTTGGCAGCTCCTAGGCCTTGGCTGGTGGGAGTGGTGTCCTCTGTCCCCATCAGCTCCTGTTCACTCAGCTCCCAAAGAGGGCTCAGGTGCCCTCTGAGGAAGCAGCAGGAAGCGAAGGGGGTCCTGGCTTGGAGAATGGGTCAAAGACTGGGTCTTGAGTGGACTCTGAGAGGCAGACCTGTGTGGATATCATCTCACTCCTGGGAGCCATAGGACAGAGGAGGGGAGAGGGAGAAGGGGGTATGCATCCTCCCTCCTTGAGTCCTGGCAAAGACTGCGCTGATCCCAGGCCGCTTTCTCTGCTTTCCTGTTGGAGTTTGGCTGAGGATCTACCCTGAGTGCGACTTGCTGCAGCGCCCACTGGCCTCTCTGAGTTCTCCCACCACACAGCTGCCTGGGAGACTGGAGAGGAGCAGCCCCAATTCCTGCTCCTGCCGAAACGCCCAGCCTAGCTCTGGGCCTTGGGGCCCGGCCATTGTCTCAGGGCCTCTGGCAGGCAAGCAGGCAGGCCGGCCTCCTAGCTCCCCTCCACCCCTGCCCCATGGTGGCCTGAGGGCAGTGGGACAGCCTGACCCAGGCTCCCAGACTTGCCTCAGCCCTGGCCTCTCTGCCCTCTCCCCTTCATCTGCTCCTCCCCCAGGAACTCTGTGCCAAACAAGTCCTCAAAGTGGGATTTATTACTAGCCCCTCTCCCTGTGGTCTCCCTTTCTGGGGGCTCTTGGTCCAGACCAAGTGACAGGGTGAGAGAGGGTGTATCCCCCCGAGAGCATGGGACCAGGCTAGCCCAAGCGCGGCGCCCAGGCCCAGCCTCCCTGGTAAGGCCTGTGCCCGCCGAGCCAGCGGCTGCCCCTGCCGGGCACCAGCGCCTGTGCACTCTCCCCTAGCTCTTTTTGGCCTCCTGCTCTCTGCGCCGTAGCTTCTCCCGCTGCCGCGCAGCCTTCTCCTGGGCCTTGCGCTCCTTCTCAGCAGCCGCTGCCAGCTCCTTCAACTTCCGTTTCACCAGTGCCCGGTCATGCGAGTTGCTGAGCCCCAGGCTCTGGGGAGGAGTCTGGGGTGAGGGAGAGAGTCCCGGAACCCTCCCCTGGTCCTGGCCCCACACCCAGGCTCCTTTTGCCCCAGGTGTACTCTGTGGAGCTCTGAATCCTGAAGTGGAGCCTCCTCCTCCCACACCATGACCTGCCTGTGGATCGGATCCCCCAGAGCAAGAATTTGGAATGAGTGTGCTTGGGAGAGATGAGGGTTGAGGGTATTGGGTGCTTTGCCCTCCCCCAACCATTCCTCCACTCAGGATTTCAGCCTTGGCCTGGCCCTGCCCAACCTCCTGAGTCCCAGAGATGGAAAGTCACTTGCCCAAGGTCACACAGCTAGTCAGTGGCCAAAGACCCTCCTCATTTCCAGAGACTTCCTGGGGGCTTTTCTCACCATCCCTGCCGCAAGCAACTCAATAGAGAGCAGGAGACAGGCCAGGAACCTCCCAGCATAGAGGTCAGAGGCCACCCAGCCACTTCCCGCTTCCTCCCCCTGCCTACCACTACCACTAGCCTCTGAGACAGAATCAGGCCAAGCTGACAGGGAGATGCATGGCTTCCCATGGTACTAGGAAACTCATGTGCATCAAAGGTCATCCTAGAGGGCAAGGTCAGCCCGGAGACCAGGGCTGGAGCTTGAAGGTCACACTCAAGCCATGGGCTTGAGTTTCAAGTCAAACTACAACACAAAGGTTAGACCAAGGACCTTGCCTAGCGGTCAGAGGTCAGGGTAGTGGCCACAGATGGAGTGAAAAGGTCAGCCCAGGAGGCTGGGCTGAGGGTCAGAGGTCAGAAGGAGGGGCTTCCAATCCCTGAAAGTCGCCTCAAGTAACTAACTGGGCTGGGTCATGGCCCTTCGGCTCTTACCCACCTTCAGTTTGCTTCCATCCAGCTGCAGTAGCTGCGGCCCATCTACCTGCCGGGCAGCAAACTCGGTGGCATACTGCTCCAGGTTGAGGCTCTGCAGCCACTGGCCCACCTGCTGGCTGGTCCAATGGTGGACGGGGGGGAGGGGCTCATCCAGGAACTGGGCAGAGACCAAGGAGTGAGGGGGAGGCTTGGCCTGTGACCTGAGTACTTTGCAGAGTCAGAGGTCAGGACTCCATGGGCGCCCTGGGCCAGCCTTGCTCACCTCATCCGAAGACTGAGACAGCGTGTGGTAGGGGTAAGAACATTTGGCCTCCTGCCGGGACCCACTTGGGATCTTGGGGCTGCTGCTGGGGGGCGTGGAGTCATCACTCAGGGTGGATTCCTAGACAGAATCGGGTGCATATGACTGAGGACAGAGTTCACCCCCAACCCACCATACCTATCTGGGTGGAGCTGAAGTCCTGGACTAGGCACCAGGAGTTGCTCAGTGCCCTGTGTGCATGAACCAGGAGCTGGGCCTGCACACATGGTAACTCATGTCAGGTATCAGAACCTGAAGCCTCTGGGAAGGCAGGCAGCCATCTGGAGGACATGGGGCTTGAACCAAGCCAGCTTAGTAGGAATGGAGGTCTCAGGCAAGGTGTCACTTCCTACAGGCAGCCCACTAGGAATCCCCCAGGTTGGGTCAGGCGTCTCTGCTATGTGCCTCCTGCCTGGCCTCTAGCACCCCAGCTAATAAGTGCTTGATTAGAGGTCTTTATCCTCATTGGACTGTGAGCTCTAGGAGGCCCTGGGGTGTATCTTGTTCACCATGGTGTTAGTGCTCAGCATAAGGGAAGGAAGGGAGGGAGGGAGGGAGGGAGGGAGGGAGGGAGGAAAGAAGGAAGTTCCAGGTCCGAAGGGATTCTTTCTCTCCCGAATTCCCAGCTTCTGATTTTCTCCTCTGACCAGCTGTACGTAAGAAACAGAACCACAGAACAAGCACTAGGCTGGGGGTCATAGAGCTTGGCACCTAAATCTGTGCCAGTCTGTGAACAAGCCCCTTCTCTCTGGGCTGTCCTTTGCTCATCTGTGCAATGTTGATGAGTGTGCCTTTCCTCCCTACTTCACTGAGCCTCTGTGAGAGTAAAGCAGAATGGGGCTTTGTAAACTGCAGAGGGCTCTCTGAACATAGGCAGATGCTCATCATTGCTTCTCTCACGTCACACAGGGTTGTAAGCTTTCAGAGTACTAGGTTAGGGTCCTGTTTGTCTCTATATCCCCCAAGCCTCACCCTACCAAGCAGGTGGCCCAGCTCCTCACACAGGAGTGGGCTTAGAGCTGAGCCAGGCAGAAGAGTTAGCAGGAATGAAGGAAGTCTCCGGCTGGGTGAACAGTAGGGAATCATGTGTTCAGTGATTTTTTGAATGCATAAAGCAGTGACTGCATCAAGGAATGAACCACTCAGAATATGAAGGAGTGGATGAGTGAATGAATGCATTCAGAGAATGCGTGAAGTAATGGATCACCTCGTGGCTCCATGGATGGACAAATCGATTCCAGGAATGTCTGAATCCTAGCCTGAGCCAGGGTGAAGTATGCCCTCATGTCACCTGAGACTGGGGGTCAGTCTGGGGACAAGAAAGGCATGGACTTACCTGGGAAGCTGACTTCTTAGGGCTGAAGCCCTCGTGTTTAGGGGAGCAGGCGGGGGAGGTGGTGCTACCCGAGGATGCTGACCCCTTGCCACTGTCTGTGAACCAGGAAAAAGGCAGGAACGGGGAGCCCCCTGATCTGCCGGATCCCTCCACTGATTCCCTGAAGAGAGAGTGTCCAGCATGGGTGTGAGTACAGAGGGGAGGACTGGGGCACACAGGGAGCCAGGGGTGGGAGCTGTGGGTGGGCCACTGTGGGCACCTCTCACCGGCTGCCCATGGACAGGCGGTTGCTGCCTTTCTCCTTCCGGCTCTTGCCCGTGGATGCTCGGCGCAGGGTGACCCTGTGGGGAGGCAGCGAGGAGTGGGGCAGGGCTGCCCACTGTGCCATCCCTTAACGCAGCAGCTCCAAGTCCTGCGATCTAGCCCCGCCTCCACTCACCCCAGGTCCAGGAACTTTCGCCGAGTCTTCTTATCCAGGCCGATGGTGGGGCTGGCAGGCTCGGGAGGACTGGCATCACGGCTGTCATCTTTCCAGGGAGAGAAGAAAGGAAATCGCCTGTTTGGTGGCCTACCTGCCTCCTTCAACTGCCGTTGTGGGGTGGTGGAAATTCTCTTGACTTAGAATCAGGCAGCGTGGCTCTGGTGCCCTTCACTAGTGGGTGTCCTAGGACAGCACACTTTACCTCTCTGGGCTTCCTCCATTTAAATACGGAATAATAACATCTGCCTACTTAACGGGACCTAAAGGGATGCTTACGACAGTCTTTTACAAACTATAAAATGTTCCAAATAGGTAGGGACCACTACTATTTACTCAATTTGATCCTAGCCAACTTCTAGCCAGCCTTCCAGTCTTGGCTCAAATGTCATTTCCAGGATGTTCCCAGCCAGGCCAGGCATCCTGGTGTATGCCCTCCCGCCACACTGCCACACACTTCCCAAATAGCACTTATTACAGTTGTAACTACACATTCAGTTAAAGGATGATTTGATTGGGGTTTTGTTTTGTTTCTGAGGCAAGGAGTGATCATAGTTCACTGGAGCTCAGAACTCCCAGGTTCAAGCTATCCTCCCACCTTAGCCTCTGGTGTAGCTGGTTCTACAGGTGCACACCATGCGGGGTTAATTTTTAATTTTTTTCTGGAGACAGGGTCTTGCCATGTTGCCCAGGCTGGTCTCCAACTCCTGGGCTCAAGCGATCCTCCCACCTCGGCCTCCCAAGGTGCTGGGATTACAGGCGTGAGCTGCAGAGCCAGGCCTGATTTGACATTTGACGGTTTCTCCCCTAAACTATGATGATAAAGACTGCATATGTTTGCTCACCTGGGTGTCTCAGAGCCCACAGGGTCTGGGACTTAGTGGGCGCTGGGTAAAGAACGGCTGAGCCGCGAGGTTTACTTTCCACCTCCCCCAGCCACCCTGCCCAGCTGCTCTACCCGGCTTCCTTGTGCGCTGGAACCAGGAGGGCCACTGCTACCGGGAGCGACCAGCAGGGGGTGCGGCGCCGGCCGCAACTCACCTTCACTGTGCGGCTCTGCGCGCGGGTGGTGGCGCACGAAGCTGGGGGAGCTGTCGGAGGAGGGTGCGGAGCGCGGCGGCGAGCTGGAGGCCGCGGCCAGGCCCTCGTGTGAGGCAGCGTTGTGCAGGGGCCGGTAGCGCGTGAGCGGCGAGGGCGGCGGCTCGTCCTCGTCCAGGCTGCGCCGCAGCCCGGGAGGATCCAGGCAGAAAGAGCCCCCTGCCGGGGACCCCGGGCCTGCGTGCAAAGGCGAGCGCAGCCGGTGCAGGGGGCTCCCGCAGCCGTCGGTCACCTGCAAGAGAGGGCAACCGCTCATCCGAGAATCCTCCTCCTCCATTCCTGGAGGAGCTGGGGGGCTTTCACCCCAGAAACTGAGGGCCCCCGAGGGTCCTTCCGGGGCCTAGAGGGAGGGTTTCCTCAAGCCTTAGGCAGCTGGGTGGCTGGACAGTGAGAGGTGGGAAACAGGAACTCTGAGTCACAGGGATGGGGGTGAATTCCCCCTCCTCCACTTACTGTGACTTTGCTACAGGACCTCTCAGGGCCTCAGTTTCCTCAGCTGTAAGATGGGGCTAATAATCTTCTTTACAAAGGATTAAATGAGCCAGAGGCGAACTGCAGCTAACATTTAGCATGACTAGGTCAGAAGTCTGTGGGTGTGGCTTCCCTAGAACAGCACTTTGAAGAGATTACCCAGGGGCCATCGGAATGGGAGGGTCGCGAGGGTGTAGGCGTATTTTCCTAACTTGCCCCAACCTTGCCTCCAGGCCCATCGGAGCCTTCACCATCCTCCGCGGAGCTGGCACTGTCCCGAAGCCTGGAGCGGGACGGCCGGTGTCTCCGGCCCTTGGCCAACAGCTGGGCCCGGGCCTTGTGTAAACTGCTGTCCAGTCTGGCGGTCTCTGGCACAGCCAAGTCCAGGTCTGCGAACCGGGGGAAGGGAGCAGAGACCAGACACATGAGAGGTGACCACAAGCCCAGAGGCCCACCTCAAGGGGCCACCTGCCCCCACACCCCAGGCATTCAACCAGTGTTCCCAAGTGCTGGGAGTACAGACAGATGAAAAACAGGGTGTCTCCGTCTCAGGTGGGAGTGGGCGGGTGTGCTGGTGAAGCAGAGATGCCAGCACTTAAATACAGTGCCGTGTGATGAACCCTCATGTAGACACAGAGGACCGGGCAGCCCTGTCTGGATACATCAGAGGAGGAAACACCAGAGCTGGGTTTTAAGGTCTGGGTAGGAGTTTGTAAGTGATGAGGTGGGCAAAACAGGTATATGCAATGCTAGCAAGTAGGGAAGCAAGGGTGGTACCTCCTGGGACAGTTGGAGGGTAGCTTTGTGGAGAGAAGGGTTGGGGATGAGGCTGGAGAGATGATGGAAATAATGGCTACCATTTAAGAAGCGCGTACTATGCACCAGGTAATGTACACACATCATCTCTCAAGCCAAGCAACCCAGTGGGGTTAGGACAGTTCCTATGCATACTTGACAGCTGAGCAAACTAAAACTCAAAGAGGTTAAGTCACTTGACTAAAGCCACCAGCTAGCAATGGTCCGGGATTTGGGCCTGGCTAGTCTGGCTCTAGAGACTGGCCCTACTGGGGACACTGGCTGGCTGTGCCATACACAGGGTCTCACTCAGAGATAGCACTGCTGAGCATGAAGAGGGCATGCAGTTGGAGTGGAGCAAAGGCCCCCCCCCCCAAGAATCCAGTGGCAGTGACAGGAAGGAAAGCCCCATAGGCCCCTGAAACCTCTTTCCTGTCCTGGGTCTGTGGCCAGGCTTAGGTCTAGCATGAGGACATGGAGGAAGAGTAGGCAAACCCAATTCGTCAAGCACAAAAATCCTTATTGCCCATAGCGCCACTTTTCAAGTGCTGCACCTCGGGATGAAGCCGTCATGCTGTACTAGTCCTGAGCTTGGCACTGGGGTCTCCAGACAGAAAGGGTCTTCCCAGGCTTCGAGATGGGTCAAGACCTTTTTTCCCACTCCACCCGCCGTGCTCTGCGCCCTCCTCTGACAGCTCCCCCAGCTTCATGCGCCGCCACCCGCATGCAGAGCCGCACAGCGAAGGTGAGTTGCAGCCGGCTCCGCACCGCCTGAGAGCATGATCTCAGGGACCCTGTTCCATCATTCATGCCCACCTGCCTTGCCTGCTCCTCTTTCCCGTCTTCAGACAACCCCTAAGCCACCCCAGTTGCTCTCCTGGCTTAACTACTGCTTATTTGTATTTCCAGCCTTGACCTCCTCCCCTGAATTCTAAGCGTGGGCACTCAGGCACCAGGGAAGTTACCACGTCAAAGGCTCCAGGGCATCTCAAGCTCAACTCACCAAAATGAATCTATCATGTGGCTTCAAACCAACTTCTCCACTCTTCCTTGACTCAGTGAAAAGCCCCCTTGTCCACCCAAGTTACCCAAGTCAGACAGCCCTAAGCCTTCTCTCTCAGCCCCAGACCCAGTTGGTAATTCATGTGTCCAACTGTCTAATGACACTTCCACTTTGAATGTCCACCAGGGGTCTTCAACCTGCATGTGCTGCAACCTCCTCATCTCTCCCACCCCAGAGCTCTTCCTCCCAGTCCTGGTGAACAGCAGCTCCATCCTTCTAGTTGCTTGGCTGAACCCCTGGAGTCGTTCTCGACTGCTTCCTCTACCATCCTACAAACAGATTCATTCACAATCCCATTAGCTCTACTTTCAAAAGCTAGCTAGACATACTGAAATATTTATGGTGAAGGGATATGATGTTTTGGACTAGGTTCCATATAATCCAGGGCAATAGGGGTAGGGCATGGATGGGGAGAGATGAAACTAGACTGGCCGTGACTGGGTCACTGCTGAGGCTGCGTGATGAGTTCTTGAGTGCATGATAGAGTACACTGCACTGTTCTAATTTTGAATCTGTTTGAGATTTTCCACAATAAATTATTGTTTGTGTGTTCGAATGTATACGTATACTCCTATACGTGTGTGCATATGGAGAGAAAGGGAGGAGTGCAGAGGAAGGGAGAGGAGAGGAAAGAAAAGGAGGGGAAAGGATGGGAGGGAAAGGACGGAGGGCAAGGAGGGGAGTGAGAGGGAGAACTGCTCACAGCCTCTCTGGTCTAAGCCGCCATCATCTCTTGGCCTGGATTATTACAAAAAGCCTCCTAGCTGTTCTTCCTTCCACCTCCCTTTCCCCTCTACGGTCTATTTTCAACACAGCAGCCGGAGTGATCCTGATCAAACATGTCAGTTTGTAACACTCCCTTGCTCAGAACCCTCTAGTGACTTCCATCTCACGCAGATTAAGAGCCAAAGTTCTCCCAGTGGCCTTCCAGAGTCAACCTGTGCTCCCTTGCCTCTCTGAGCACTACTCTCATCCCTCCTCTCCAGCCATCTTGGCCACCTGGCTCGTCCTCACACAAGCCAGCCTGCACTGCACAGCCTTTGCTCTGCCTCTGCCTTTGCACTGCCCCTGCCTTTGCACTGCCTCTGCCCTTTTTCTGCAAGCTCCTTCTGCAGATTTCTGCATGGCTCTCTCCCTCATTTCCTTCAAGTCTTTGCTTAAATGCTTTCTCTCACTGAGACCTTCCCTGACCACCCAGTTTATAATAGCCTCCCCTCAAAACCCCACTCCTATTTTTTTCCTATAATATTTCTCATTCTCTGGGGTGCTACATATTTTGCTTATATCATTTATTGTCTCTCTCCACCCATTAGAATGTCAGCTCCATGAAGACAGGTTTCTGTTTTGTTCACTGCTCTACCACAGGCAGATAACCGTGCCTGGCACACAGTAGGTGCTTAGCACACTCTTTTAATGAAAGAAAAACGTTCTGGTTGATTGGCCTCCTCACACCCACAGAAGCTGGGCTCTCCTCTCCCTCTGGACCGAACTGCCTTAGCTCAGACCTTCACCTGAGTGGAGGGGAGCTGTCCCCTCTTCCTACCCCCTGCCACCCCAAAACATGCAACCATCCATACTTTGCTCCCTGCCTCGTGGGAGGCTCTGCCTCATGCCTTCCATGTGACTAGAAGAAACTTTCTGATGCACATTTTCTCTCTCTCTCTCTCACTTTCTTTTCTTTTCTTTTTTTTTTTTTTTTTTTGGCAGAATCATGCTGTCACCCAGGCTGGAGTGAGTGACATGATCTTAGCTCACTTCAGCCTCCACCTCCTAGCCTCAAGCGATTCTCCTCCCTCAGCCTCCTGAATAGCTGGGACTACAGGTGTGTGCCACCACCACACCTGTTTAATTTTTGTTTTTTTAGTTGAGATGGGGTTTTGCCACATTGGCCAGGCTGGTCTTGAACTCCTGACCTCAAGTGATCTGCCCACCTCAGCTTCCCAAAGTGCTGGGATTACGGATGTGAGCCACCATGCTCAGCCTGAAGCACATTTCTGACCATGTCCCATACTCTCCTGCTTTGGGAACTGTCGCAGAAAGAGTCCTAAAGCTAACGATATAAAGTCCATGCTACTCAGCCCTCTATTCAAGGCCTGAGGGGTCCAGCCCACCCTTTCTCTGTTCCCCACAGAGTCCTCCTCTTACATGACTATGGCTAAGAGCACTGCCCCGGAGTCCGATGGCCCAGGCTGAAGCCAGTTCTATCACTTGCTGGCTAAGTGACTCTGGGCAAGTTACTTCCTTTTAGATGTCAGCTTTCCCATGCGTAAAACGGGATACACTAGCACTATCTTCCTTATAGAGGGGTTGTGAGCATTAAGTAAAATAATCCGAAGACAGTGCTTCACCATAATGCTGTGACCTAGTCCGAGCTCAATAGGCTCTCACTGGTGATGGTGTCTGCGCGATCAACTGAATTGCTTATACTGATACCTGTATGTGTATCTGCCTCCACCTCACTTCTCACCTCCATCCCTGTGCTCCATCTTTCTCCAGCCCTTCTCTGTCTGGCTAATCAACTCTGACACATCATCCTCTGGCAGCCGCACCCCACTATCATATGGTCACGATACGGTCCGGGTCTGGTCGCTAATGACTGTCTCTGCCTGCTGGCCTGCATGCTGCAGAGGGTGAAGCCCTTCCCTGTCCACTGTATATCATGAGAGCCTGGTGCGGCACCTGGCAGGGAGCAGGTGCTCAGGGAGTGTTGAAGCAAAGTCACACTTCCATGGAGCAGTGCATGTTTTGGCGGAGACAGACTCCAGACACACTTGGGTGCTGATGAAGGTCACCCGCATGCACAAGTCACATCCCATCATGCCCACATTTCAATCCTCTGCCCAGCACTCCCTACCATCTAGTCTGTTCCCTGTTTATTTATGTGTGCTTTGATCATCTGTCCCCCTGCTTGCCCCTGCATGAGAATTTGAGCTCCATGAAGGCAGTGATTTTGTCTGGCTGGTTCATTGCTGTCTCCCCAAAGCCAAGAACAGAGCCTGATGCATATTAGGAGCTCTATAAATATTTGTCAAGGCTGGGCATGGTGACTCATGCCTGTAATCCCAGCACTTTGGGAGGCTGAGGCAGGTGAATCAGCTGAGGTCAGGAGTTCGAGGCCAGCCTGACTAACATGGTGAAACCCTGCTTCTACTAAAAATACAAAATTAGCTGGGTGCATACCTGTCATCCCAGCTACTCTGGAGGCTGAGGCAGGAGAATGGCTAGAACCCAGGAGGCGGAGGTTGCGGTGAGCCAAGATCGTGCCATTGCACTGCAGCCTGGGCAAGAAGAGCAAAACTCCATCTCAAAAATAAATAAATAAATAATTGCCAAATGGATGAAAAGATGGGGGATACTGGGAGGCTACTACTTTAAATGTAGCAGTCAGGCTGAGGTCCGGGAAGCCATAAAGAGCCGAGGTCGCAGAAAGAACAAAAAAGAGTTTTCTAAGGAGAGAGACTGGCACAGCCTTGGACTTGGAGTGCCTAGGGAGCAACAAGGGACCAGCCCAAGCTGCAAGGGGACAGGAAGGGACTGGCTGAAGGGGGAGAGTGGACACAGGGGGCAACCTGCTGGCGTTTCCAGCCCCTGGGCCTGAGCTGGGGGAGGGTGCCCTCTGTTCCCAGCCCCCTCGCATAGAATCTCCAGGCACTGTCTGGAAGCAGCAAGGATTGAAGGTCGATCAGAAAAGTAAGAGCTAATCCTTATTGAGCTCTTGCTGTGCTAGGCACTGTTCTAAGTGCTTCACAATTACTAGCTCATTGAGCCTCCCCACAGCCCTATGAGGAAGGGACTCCAAGAATCCCCAGGGCAGCCTTCATTTGCCCCACAGCATAAAGCTGGTGAGGAGCCGGCCAGGGTTACAGACAGGCGGTCTAGCTCTGTTGGTAAGCATTAAGAATGCTACACCCTCTCTGAAGCAGAGATGGGAAGGAATTTTGAGTCCAACCTCATTGTATGGATGGGAAAACAGGCTCACAGAAGACAGGAGGATACGTTTGGCTGAGGGTACAGAGTGGGTTACGGAGAGTGGCTCCCAGGCCAGTGCTCAGGATCCTAGCTGGTGCCCAACCAACTCAAAACAGGGAGAAGGGCTCCTTGCTCTGGACTCTGGGCACCATGGCCATCTTACCTTGGAGGGGCTGGGGAGCAAGGGGATGCCTAGGGGTCTTGGTGGTTTTCAGGCAAGGTGCGGCCGGCCTGTCCTGGGTCCTCTGCTCTGCGAAGCTCTTCCTCCAGCTTCTTCTATCTCTTCCCTTCGTCTCTGCTCCTGCCCTCCTTCCCTAGTTCCTCCCCCATCTCTCTCCCTCTTCCTCCTCCTCCCAGCCCTGGGCAGTGGGAATTCATAAATATTTAATGGCCTTTCACGCCAGGAAGCTGGGAGGACCCAGCTACCTCTGCAGTGAGGAAAACAGGCCGGAGTTGGGTGGGGAGGCCAGGGTAGGAAGGTGGGGCAGAAAACCCAGGGAAGGGAGAGCTCATCTCCGTCAGGCCTGTGTGGAGACAGACTCAGAGACTGCAGCCCTGAGGCAGTTCAAGGCTAGGGGAGCAGAGGAGACTGGAACGGGAAGCCAAAGCCGCAGTTTCTGGCATGGCTGGGGGAGAAAGGGAAGAAGGGAGAGATGGGGAGAAGGCAGGCAGGAGAGGAGAAACTGGGAGCCCTCTGGCATAGGAGCCCCTCAAGGTGCAGGCAGCTCTCCCCCTCTTGCTCATTCCTCCAAGTTCCTTTGCTCACTGACTCCTCCTGACTCCTCCACCAGAATCCCGCTGGGAAACCCGCTTTCCGCCCCAGTGCATGCTGGGAACGCTGCCCAGCTGGGATGGTCTCTTTCTCCAATCCACACAACAGAAGACTGCAGGGGGTAAATGATGGTACCGTGGGGTGGGCATGCACCCCAGTGTGTACTGAGGATGTGGGCGTGCAGGCCAGAGTGAGGGGGCCAGCCTGGGGGTACGAGGAGACTATGTGTGTCATGCATTTGATTTCAGCACGCAACAAGGCAGGGTGAGGTCCCTTGCACTTATTTACGTGACTTGGAGGTGATGTGTGTCATCTGGGCTGGAATGTACAGGTGGGTGTACAGGATCGTGACTAAGAGCAGGAAGTCAGGCATCCTGGGGTTCTAGTCCCAGCCCTGCCACTAACTTGCTTTGTGATCTTGAAAGCAAGTCAGTTCAGCCCTCTGTACCCTACACTCCTGGTCTGTAAACTGGGCTGACTTCTAAGCATTATTGTAAGGGTTAACTAATACAGTGCATGGGAGATGGGGGGTGCTTAACCTAGTATCTGGCATAAGCACTTAATAAATGAGGACCTTTATTGTTATCACTGATGCGTCCACTAAGACAGTGGTGACAAAGGGTCAGTCCACAATACACACACACACACACTCACACACATACACACGCCACCAAGAACCCCCTTATCCCCTTCAATGCCTAGTGGCCCAGGAAGGAAGTACTCTATGGCTGTGTCTATTGACTAGAGATAGAACCACACAGAACTTACCAAAAACCTCATCCGCGGGTTCTCGGAGCTTTGAAGAAGCCATGACTCAAG